CAAATTACGGCGAGTAGGCGTGGCTGAATGCGACTTGTGTTCTGCCCTCGTTGTGCCCTGATGATTTCCCCTGTTCAGACCCCACAAAAAAAAATCTGTGTTTTCTACGGTACAGAAGTAATTATCCGCGAAATCGGAATGGGGCGGGATTTCCTTTTCGTCTTCCCTTTCTCCTTTTTCACGTCTCCTTCTTTCCTTTCTACGTTCATTGCTCTCATGGAGGTCCGCCTCCAGCGTTGGCAATATATAAGAGATGTTGTGTCGCTGTTGGTGGTTCGCTTCTGGAGCTACTCTGTTTTGAACTCATATCAGACTTTCTAAACATCTAGCTCATTTTCTAAACATCTAGCTCATAGATTTTCTATTTAAGCTTCTAATTCTTTAATATTTTGGCTCATTATGAGCTAAAAAGGTTGAATTTTTTGATAAAAAGATTTTTGATACACCTATGTTGCATATATCTGGAACAAAGGTTCTATTTTTGTTTCTTTGGTTTGTTCTCTTGATCTCTTGATTATAATTGGCCCATGATTACTTGTTTGTCTTTTTCATTTACTAGTAAAACGGATTTAAAAGATATTCCAGATATATGTAAGATAGATGAAATTTTCTAAATTGTTCGATCTAGAAATCCGTCCGATCTAGAAATCCGTCCGATCTAGACTCTAGATCCGATCGTGATTGTGATTCTAGATCGGATGTTCGATCTAGAAGTCCGAAAGTGAAGTAAGGGCAAACATTTGTTCTAGAATCAAACCTATCATTCTAAATCCGATCCAGATTTAGCGTCCGATCCAGATTTAGCGTCCGATCCAGACTTAGAGTGATGATTCTATAGTGATGTTGATTCTAGATCAAACGTTTGACCTCACTTCTCTCTAGATCAGACGCTCGATCTAGAGTGAAGTCTAGAGCGGACGTCTAGAGCTAGAAACAGTCTAGAGCAAACGGATTTCTAGATCGGACGTATATCGATATACAACAGAAATGTCAAAAAAAATCAAAAATCTAGTCAACGGGATTGAGCCCTTGACCGCGGCCGAACCTTCCGCCTTTCATACAGGGCTCTTAACCACTCGGCCATGACGACATTCTTCCCCTGGCAGATCTTTCCTAGTTTTATTCTAGATACAGAGCTTTTAAACCGCTCACTCACTTTAAACCTCTCACTCACTTTAAAGCTCTCATTCACTTTAAAGCTCTCACTCACTTGAAACTTGTTCTTGAGATCAGCTTTGTACAGAATTGCTTCTAATAGTTGTTTGACTATAAATCTCGCTTCTTTCAACCATTATCGTCATCTATTTACAGCTAAGAATTGAACGTAATAGATCTATGAACGATCTATGATAACTATGAGGAATTTTGATAGATCTATGATCTTTGATAACTATAATAGATCGGCATCTATGATAACTGTCGATGATCCCCATCTATCATCGTTCTAAAGATTCTCCACTTGTTTATTGATCAGGAATTTAAGCCGAATTGTTGCCCTAAACAAAATTGTTGCCCTATTTCCAAATGATTCACTTCACTTAAACCTCTCTTAACTCATTTTCATCAAATTCCCGCTCAAAGATTTCTTCAATGTTTTCCATTTCACTGAAAAACACATCAAAATCGTTTAAGATCTCACCAATTGATAGAGAAAGGGAAAGCCGCAAATTGGCCACTTCAGAAAAGAATTCGAAGAAACTTTTCGTCATTTCTTTTATCTTTTATCAATCTTCTTTTGTTTTTTTTTGTGCAAAGAGAAACATCCGATTGTGTTTTAATCGCCGAAGAGAGGCACCGATTTCTTCGCTTTTCTTTCGCTTGAAAGTGGCCATTTCTCGAGATTCACTTCATTTTGTCTGCACTTAAATCGAATCAGATCAAAATTTTCTCCGCTTTCTTTTAAGCAATAAAAGAAGCAAAAGCTTAAAGGCTTAAAGCTTATGGCTTTTGAAGCTTAAAGGCTTAAAGCTTAAAGGCTTCAGCTTAAAGGCTTCAGCTTAAAGGCTTCAGCTTAAAGGCTTTTGCTTAAAGGCTTAAAGGCTTTGCTTAAAGCTTAAAGGCTTTAGCTTAAAGCTTAAAGGCTTCAGCTTAAGGCTTAAAGGCTTCAGCTTAAAGCTTAAAGGCTTCAGCTTAAAGCTTAAAGGCTTTTGAAGCTTAAAGGCTGTAGAACTTTGTCAATGTAACTTGGCTATTAGCTTGGCTTTTTTGTTTGTTAAAACCTTGAGATTTTTCCTAGAATTTGCTTTGATTTAAAATGAAAGCTTTTCAGAAATAACAGAAATGATTTCAGAAATCAAATTCCAGAAAGCAAATGGCCTCTTCAGCAATGATTTTGCGGATATTTCTTTTCTCGATTATTTCAATCGTTCAAACTCGGCCGAGCATGAGTGAAGAAGATGATGATTCGAACGAAATGACTGTGAATCCGAATTCTCTTCACGGACCATTCACTGCGCATTTCAAGCAATGGTTGGAGCATGAAGAGTGAGTTTTTCACAGAGAAATTTCGACAAATTGATCCTCTTGAATAACTATTGAGTTTTTAGAGAAACTCTTGAATAACTATTGAGCTTTATTTATCAGCTCTTGATTCAGTTTTAAAATCAGTATCAATTCATTAGTTCAAAGTTGATTGATTCAAAAGTTCATTAGTTCAAAGTTCATTAGTTTAAAAGTTCATTAGTTTAAAAGTTTATTAGCTTAAAAGTTCATTAGCTTAAAAGTTTATTAGTTCAAAAGTTCAAAAGTAGAGCTTATTACTTTCAATTTCTACCGGAAAACTCTAAAAATTTACAGTCGATTTGGTGCTGGCGTCGAAGCTCTAAATGTTTTTGAGAAATACGGACCCACCGGCTCATTTGGAGGAAAAAAAGAAGAAGGAGAAGAGGTAAATTGAGTGATAATATGGTATACAATTGTAGGCTACTCATTACTATGCATTACTATGCATTATTATTCATTATTATTCATTATTATTCATTACTATTCATTATTATTCATTATTATTCATTATTATTCATCCTTATTATTCATCCTTATTATTCATCGTTATTATTCTTATTCTATTCTTTTCAGATCTCTCGAGATCCAGTGATTTTCATTCACGGAAACTCAGACTCAGCCTTGGACTATGGCACCCCAGGGGTTGCAGGATGGACGGCGGTGTTGAAAGATTTCCAAGCGGCCGGCTACAAAATGTCCGAACTTTACGGGATTACATATGGAAATCGGAAAATCAGTTTGTCGTTGAACACGTGAGTTTTTTTTCTTTCTTTCTTTTTTCACTTTTAAAACTTATCAAAAGGGTTCGTAGTGTTAGTGGTGAGATTTTGAGTGGATCTCTTTTGATTTTGAGCTAATCTCTTTTGATTTTGAGCTTCAATTTTCTCAAAAATTTAATAATCAGCCTTTTATCTAGTTTATAAATCGATTATTTTCAGTTTAATGAGCTGTGAAATCTTGAAATCGCATCGAAAATTCGTTGAAAATGTGCTTAACTACACGGAGTCGCCAAAAGTTGACATCATTGGACACTCGATGGGAGCAACAATTGCACGAAAAATCGTGAAAGGAGGATTGGTGAGGAGTTGAAAGAAAAGAAAATGAAAGAATTCAATTTCAGGTTGAATTGAAAGACGAAACTTGTGATTTGGGGCCGAGTATCGCCGACAAAGTGGACACCTTGATAGCGCTGGCTGGCGCTCATTACGGGATGTGTCTATGCGGAAAGCCTGGTCTCATCTCGTCCAATGCCTGCAATGTTGTGGTTAGTTTTGAAAATCTGAATACTTTCTGATATACTGTAGGCATACTGTAGAAAAAAGACTATATATAAAAGATATATAGATAAAAGAGCTGTGTCTGTCCATCCGTCCATCTGTACGGTCTTTTTCTCAGCTATTCTTAGGCCAAAAACCTCAAACTCTTTTAAAAGTCTTAAAATATAATATAGTTATGCTATTTTCAATAAAAAAATGTAAAAAAATCAAAATTGAGTGCACTACGGGGGGTCGAACCTGGATCGTGTGGGTTGTAGCGCGCTCCCGATTGCGCCACGGTGACTATAGTGTGGCGGTGATCTACGTCGCCGTAGCGCAGTCGGGAGCGCGCTTGTCTACACCCAACAAAAGCCAGGTCGAACCTGGATCGCCTGGGTTGTAGACAAGCGCGCTCTCGACTGCACCACGACGACTATCGCGTGGCGGTGACCTACGTCGCCGTAGTGCAGTCGGGAGTGCGCTTGTCTACAACCCATAAAAGCCAGCTTCGACCCATCGTAGTGCACTTGATTTTGATTCTTTTAACTCTTGATTTTAAATAGCATACCTGCATATTATATTCCCGTCATTATACGAGTTTTTCGGCTGGTTTATCAACGTTTCTATAAGTATTTGTTAACTGAGTTTTAAGGATTTTTGTAATTAAGCTTTAGACGTCTCTAAATGAATAACCCAAAATTCAAACAATGCAAAATGTTTTCAGAATGGCTTTTATGCCTCACAAACGTGTGGAAACGGGAAAGCGGTGACATGCGAGGCGGCGAAGGAGGGAGAATGCAGGAATGCGAATTACGGCGAATTCCTCAAATCGATCAATCAAGACACGAGAAAAGAAGCCGATCATGTATACTCATTGTGGTCAAAAGGTTTGCTTATTATTTCATATTGTTTAAGGTCTTATTTTATCAATTTACTCAAAGAAATCATTATCATTATCTTAAATATTATCATTATCTTAAATATTATTATTATCTTAAATATTATCATTATCTTAAATATTATTATTATCTTAAATATTATCATTATCTTAAATATTATTATTATCTTAAATATTATCATTATAATAAAAAAAATTTTATTAAATTTCTAAATATTATCATTATCTTAAATATTATTATTATCTTAAATATTATCATTATCTTAAAGATTATCATTATCTTAAATATTATCATTATCCTAAACATTATCATTATCTTAAACGTTATCATTATCATTATCAAAGAAATCATTCATCTTAAAATTTCCAGATGATCAAGTTCTCGGAAATGACAATCTCGTTTGGGGAAAGAAAACCTCATTCGTGCCTGGATCAAAAGCCAAAGTGAGTGAAGCTGATAGATCAATTATTCAAATTTCTAATGTAAAATGATTTCTTACTTACTTTCTTACTTACTTTCTGACTTACTTTCTTACTTATTTACTTTCTGACTTACTTTCTGACTGATATTTCTTATTGTAAGATAAGAAATATCAGTAAGATATTTCAAGGCTAATTCTTTAAGTAAATATTTCAAAAGTAAAGCTTCAGACACCTTCATTTGATTACTTTGTTCTCAAGAAAATTCGAAATGAAAAGCCTGTTCATTTTTGATCTTTTTAAGTAAAAAAATGCTAGATTCAACTAAGAAAATTAAGTGTGTTAAATTAAACAACTATTTAAGTGTGCTAGGAAGTAGAAGTTTTCATTTTGAAGTTGGAATTACGATACTAGAACAGGCTTTTCATTCTTGGATCTTGTTCTCTAACAGGGCTGTAGTATAGAAATTTAGAGAATTTAACCAAAAACAATAGCAATTGCAAGCAGCAACTTTAACCCAAAGAATTTCAGGCCTACACCGGCTTGGATCATTTCAATATCAAGACGGGCGCTTCAGAAGACATGATTTCTCTCGTTCAAACCCACACATTTGCCCCATCACCAGTTGACCCATCACCAGTTGCCGTTCGACGAGTTCAAAGGAGTCACAAGTCCACCCACAAATCGCATCATCACAAAAAACACCAAAAATCGAGTCACAATTATGAGATCGATTTCTAAATTTTTCAATTTGCTTAACCATTTCACCCGATTACGAGTATTAGCGTTTAGTCCTGCATTTTTTTTTTATTTCAAATTCGATTTTCCCTCTTTCTATATCTAGTTTTCTGAATAGTTTTCCAAAAAAAAAGCTTTCAAAGCTGTTCACCTTAAATTTGCCTTGATTTTTGTATCTCTTTTTCTTTCTTTTTATGTCAAATTTGTTGATCTCATTTTTCCAAAAAAAGTACAAACCCAAAAACGTTTTCTGTATAAATGTTTTTCGAGATTTTCTGTTTTCTTCTTCTTGCCGATTTTGTGCTGATTGAATAAAAAGATGATTTAGTTTGAAAGCTGAACAAAACAATACAAACAAACAAACAAACAAACAAACAAACAAAAAAACAAACAAAACAAACAAAACAAACAAAACAAACAAAACAAACAAAACAAACAAAACAAACAAAACAAACAAAACAAACAAAACAAACAAAACAAACAAAACAAACAAAACAAACAAAACAAACAAAACAAACAAAACAAACAAAACAACAATACAAAACATTTAACGAGTCAAAGTATTAGGTTGGTGCAGATGGAACTTCCGTTGGAACCAAACAAACGTTGGAAACAAATTATAAAAATCCTTCTGGTCTCTGGCTATGATCAATAGGTAGTTTCGGTTCTTCGGCTAAGATCAATGTGTAGCTTCTGGTCTCTGGCGAGGTAATGGGCGAAGTGTTCTGTGGATGGTGCTTCATGTTTGTGTGCAGATTAATGTGTAGCTTCTGGTCTCTGGAGAACCTCAATCTAAAAGATATTCGCCATCATTATCAATGACTCTTTGCCATCTTCCACGCAGAGAATGGATGCCCTTTTCGAAGAACTCGGGCAACTGCGACTCGAAGAAGTTGGACACCCAGATTTCAACTTCTTCGCGGTTTTTGAATTTATTTCTGCTAAAAAAGTGCTGCATCGACCGAAACAACTGGTAGTCGGATGGGGCCAAGTCCGGGCTATATGGCGGATGAGGCAGAACTTCCCAGCCCAATTCCTCGAATTTCTGCTGAGTGCTCTTCGCGGTGTGAGGTCGAGCGTTATCGTGGAGGAATTTTGTAGTCACCGCGTTATTGCCTTGACGACGCAACGCCTGGTCCACGCGACTCAATTGGGCTTTGTAGAGATCCCCGTGACTCTTTGGCCCAAATCCAGCACCTCAAAATACACGAGACCTTTACTGTTCCACCAAATACAAAGCATCACCTTTTTTCCGTGCATATTCGGTTTGTCGATTGTCGATTTCGATCTGTAGACAAAATTTCAGAGGAATCAGCCAAGAAAACGAAGGTGAAATTTGGTGTGGTTAGAGTTTTTCCATGTCTAGTACATGCACATGTTCCTTGACACATTTTCGCCTGATAAATCTTGGGGACCTAGTCAAAATAGCGCCGCTAAAACAGTGTCATTCAAAACAGCGCGAAATTTAAAGAATTTAATGTAGATTAACCAACGCTCTTTTGGAGTTTTCGATAAAAACTTGTTTTTTTGTGCATTCTAAAGTAAAATAGTAGATGAAAACTTGGCTAATCAATTAAAGAAATGAAAAATAAAACAAAAGAGTAACATCTGAAGTAACATACATATAAATGTAACAACAGAAAGATTTAAAATGATCGACTGAAATTACCCAAAGTTCCATGAACCCCCAACTTTTCTTAAACGCTGGTCGTGAAGAACTTTCGACGATTGAGGTGATGATTGAGGTAGAGTCATTTGAGGTGATGATTGAGGTGATGATTGAGGTAGAGTAGAGATGTGGTCGCATCAAGACGTTTTTCGAAGTCTTCTTGAACATCTAGTAGCTTTTGAGCAGCATAGCGAGCAGAACGCCGTAAAGTAAGAGCCTAAATCTTTAAACATTAACTAAACTTTAAAAACACAAACTTTTAGTAAAGAATTGTAAGATTCCTGAAACGAGTTGTCAGGTTGTTCGCCACGACAGATTGCTTCAGACGAGTTCCACGTTTCAATGAAGTGTGTCGGTTGAACGAAGCGATTATTTCGAACAAATCCAACAAAAGACTTTTCGAAGTACGAATATAAGCCTAATTTTAAAAAGTTAAATTTATAACAAGATATGCAACAAACTTTGCAACTCGTTAATAATGGAGGGCATTTGTTTGATGGTTTCATCTCGAAGTTCACAAGTTGTTGTTGTAGTTGTAGTTGTATAATATCACGAAGTTGTAGTTGTATAATATCACAAGACATCAAGAGGTTTTATGAATGTTAGGGCAAGCAATCCTTTCCACATAGACAAACGTATTTGAATCACAATAGATGTCTTGTAGTTTCTTCTCCCTAAAAGAATAGATAAATATTACAAAAACAAAAGTTTAATAACCTTAATTTTGCGAACGATGGCCTTGAAGAGATGAAAATAATAGAAATGGATGATTGTTGTATTGCCATAGACTACCATAAAAACCGTTGACAATAGCCAGCTCCATATCTAAAGATGTTTTATCAATTATTCGATGCAAAATAAACAAAAAAAACCTGTTTTAATTTTTGTTGGTGGTGGCAATTCCAATTGTTTGATTGGATCAAAGACGTCGCTATACGTTTGTGTCAACTTGCTTGCAGCTTAGAGTAAGCTCTAACTGTGTAATATTTCTCTTTTGGGGCACAACGAACACCACAAAGAACATTCTGCTATTAAAGAATAACCGTTCGAGAATTTAACAAAAAATAAAACTTCGTTCATGGCACTTTTCCATTGCTACACTAACCCTCGATGACGTGGGCTCATTATTCAGCACAAGCTATTCAGCTGTAGTTGTATAGATACCAGGCTAGCTGGGCTGTTGGTCTGGTTAAGCTGACCAATAACAACACTAATCAATAAGCTCTTTGCTATATTGTTAAACTTAAAACATATTAGATTTTTTCGAAAGCCATCGAAAGAAAAGTTTCTCTATTAATAGAGAGTTTCCTGAAGCGAAAACGTGTTCTTCCAAAAACCGATCTTTATCTAAAAGATTCGGCAAGAAAGCTAAGTTGAAAAAGTCTTAAAACGATTAGCTAACTTCAAAACAAATAAGATTTTAAAAGTTGAACCGGGTTTTTTTACTTTTAATCGATTATCCAAATTTTCTTTCTTTTGAGTGGATGTGTTGATGAATTTCGCAACTTCTGACAAAAAAGTAATGGAAAACTTTTTAGTTCATCAATCTAAAAATGTGTTTGATTTGTAAGTAGCCTTTAAATTTGTAGGTAGATTTTATTGGCTTATTAAGCTTTGAGAAACTTGAAGACTTGCCTCTTTCTTATTGTCTTTTCTTTATTTTTTGTCTCTGTGTCATTTGCCTTTTCTTCTCTTACTTGCCACCAAAAACAAGTCCTCTTCCGCATTTCCGCAATCTCTCTGTTCATCCTCTTTTATAGAACAGCCAGGGGAATGAAGAGCTCATTTTATTTTTCTTTTAGTTCTACCAAACAATTCTATATCCATATTTCGCAACTTTCCATCATCTAAATCAGCTCAATCAATTTTAACTTTGCATTCAAAGTCGTTGAATTCAGATCAGAGTAGAAGAAAATCTAAAAACTTCAACAACCGACTGTTAAATTTTAGAGTTAGAAATAAAAAGCCACTTGTTGCCGCTTGTTGACAATAGTTTCAGGCAGAAATGATTTGAAATTATGAAAAATTGACCATTTCAGCCTGATTTTACTGGTTTTTCCGAGTTTTCCAGACAATCCTACCTCTCTTTTCTAGATTTTGAAATTCTAACCTCATAAAAGATTATCAGTAAATTGGGGGTGGGACAAATGATTTTTTGCGCACCTGGACATTTGCGCACCTTTTTTGCTGGAAAAGGCCTTAGGCAAGGCCGTAGAGCTTCGAAAACATTTCGAAAATATTTCCATATAAGGGAATCGTATGTGTAGGTTCCGGAATTCGGACAAATCAGACCTCGCTGACACGTCAAATTTGGGGCTAAAAGGCAAAAACTGCGGAAAAGTGTTAAGTTGCGTAGTTTTTGCCTTTTAGCCCAAATTTGACGTGTCACCGAGGTCTGATTTGTCGAAATTCGGAATCTACGCATACGATTCGCGTCTATGAAAACATTTTTGAAGCTCTACGACCTTTCCTAAGGCCTTTTCCAGCAAAAAAAAGGTGCGCAAATGTCCAAGTGCGCAAAAAAAAGGTCGCATTTGTCCCACCCCCCAGTAAATAGATAGCCAAAATTTAGCCGAAAAAAACACAACTGAATAGAGAAAAGTGAACTTTACTTGTACATACTTTTGTTTCTTTGCTCAATTCTTTGTTTCTTTGCTCAATTCTTTGTTTCTTTGCTTTTCCCACTAAACAGTCACTCAATTTCCGGCACTTCTCCCTTCCACTCACCCCAAATGGAATATCTCTTCCCCTCATTTTATTTTCTCGACTTTTGATTGACAGGATTTGTCCTTCCCCTCCCCGTGTTCTCTTTCCTAAATCGGCTGCACGCATCGCTTTTCTTTCTCGCGTCGCGTCCCATTGGCCGATTTATTTGGCCCCGTTGCTCGGATCAACGAAATTCAATTTTCAAACGGAAATTTTTCAAAAGTTTTGCCTTTTATCTTATTAAAATCCCTATTGACTCATCAGTTTTTCTCTTTCAACCGTATAGAACTATTTCTAAAGTAAACCGGTTCATTTTAGGCGCCATAACGATCATTTTTTTAACAATTGATCCAATCCATTCGCATTTTTCTTCTAAATTTTATGTTCTTTGCATTGTATTTCTTCTAAACTTTATGTTATTTATTGTATTTGTAAATTTAGGTGCAAAACCTTCAACTAAATGGTATGAAGAGCCTGGTTGCACCGCAAAATGTGATCTTGTTCGCGGTTTTGTTCTCTATTGGATATGGAAAAATCCATCATCTAGCATTAAAGGTGAGAATTCTCTTTTCTAAGCATTTCTATATTAGGCAAAATAAGTATATTAACTGCTTATAAATAGTATAATTTACTTATGACTGTGTTATAACAATATTACTTATGTTATAAACAAAGGGTTACTTTTTAAATCGTGATCACTTTTGTTTGGTGATGTTTTGTGATACTTTGCACTAAATTTTTTGGGTAGAACTCGCTATAACTTTCTTAAAGTGTTTATCTTTATGATTTTAACGTCATTTTGTTGCACTTGTTGAGTTCTACAAAATGACACCAAAATCATAAAGATAAACACTTAGAAGAAAGTTATGGCAAGTTGCGCAAAAAAATGGCGCAAAGTATCACAAAAACATCACCAAACAAAGTGATGACATTTAAAAGTAGCCGCTTTGTTTATAACATAAGTAATATGTTATAACATAGCAAAGTAGCCATCCCCTTTTGTGATCAGTTAACAAATGTACTTTTGCAAAGGAAATTTTAGCTGTCAGTTAACAAATAGTTTTGTTTAATTTAATGTTTAAGGATTTGCTTAAAAACATTTCAAAACAGTTTTCCAGGGAGATGCTCGACGAAACATCATTTTGACGAGTTTTGGCTACACCGAGGGCGGCACTTTCGATCTGTTCTCAGCAATTTCAACGTTCCCGACGAAATTGCCCATTTGACCGATTCGAGTGATGAACATTCGGATAGATTGGTGCGTTTAAGCTCTATTAGTTTAAGTACTAAGTCTTTCACCTTTGATTTCATTATCTAAACAAACGAAACACAAACTACCAAATACCAAACGCTTTCTTTCATGATGAATGTTTATCATTTACTTTTTGCCATTTTAAAACAATTTTTAGTATTTTAGAATAATTTACGAGAATGAAAGGTGGTATTTTTAAGAATATTGAAAAATGAAGACATAAAGAACACCGCTAAACGAATTCTTCTGAAATTTTGACTGTAAGCCTAACTTTTTACGCGCTATCCTTTTTATTTTGTCATCAAAATAGGTTTCTTTGAAAGAAACGGTCCAAATCGCATTATCGGACCTTGTTTTTGAACACTTGGCTTCTTGCTAATGAAGAATCTTCAAAACAAAGCTTTTCAGAAAATTTTAAAAGCTATTTGCAGGAGAAATGATTGGGCTATCTAATGAAAAAACCGTATTTCATTTAGTAGCTTATTTTGTATTATTTTATTTGGTAAAAAACGTATTTGATTTGGTAGCTTGAGACTTATTCAATTAGAAAATTAATTTGGGTGAAAGATTTACTACTCAACTTAATAAATAACTAGATAGATAAGCTAGAAAGCTCACGTTTTGTCAGAGCACAAGTACGAAACAAATTTTACCTTTATCCGAATGTGTTTCCAAAGTTATTCTTGAGATATTATATTCCATTTAAAATCAGAATTTTATGAATCAGAGTAGAGAATTCAGAATAAGTCCTTCAACACTGTCGAAATAACCAATGAAAACGAATTTTCAGGGTGTCATCGGCTTCTCTCTCTCTCGCGGCTCGTCAATCTACCAGAGTGTTGGCTCAAATCCACGCGTTTGTCAACTGCAACAAACTGATCAAGGTTTGAGAGATTTAAGAAGTAAATTCACTACGCACAGAAATTTGTGAAATGGAATTATAGTCGACAACATTATTTTTACGATATTTGTTTAGGCTTCGACGCGATATTTTTCCTCGCGGATTTGCCGAAAAATCGTTTACGCGTGTTCAGAAGTGGGATCGGGGAGAAAATCACGATTTGCCCATCACATGAACAGTTTGTTTTTGTTAGGGAAATTTATAAATGACGGAAATGAAGTTATAAAATTGAAACTTATTAGACGGGGACTGGGTAAACTGTAATTATTGTTAGCCTATGTTTATAAAGTTTGCAAAAGGCTAAACAATATTTCAAAGAACCTTTTTCTATCAGTTTTACACTATCGATTCCTTCGTTAGATTTTTTAAACAGTAGATAAAACTTTAAATTTTGAGTAGTTTGCCTCTTTAAATTTTTTTAGCTTTTGTACCTTTTTTGTGCACCACGAAAGGTGTGTTTTAATTTTACATGAACCCCAAAGTACATGAGGGATTCTCATAAATTCAACAGATTCGTTGATCTTTTCCCCATTATCTTGACCTGACCTATTACATAAGCCTCCTTTTCATTTATCTTTGCCCTTTTCTACCAATTTTTCTTTTCCCTATTACAAAGCGCTTATTCTTTGTGAACCTTGGGCATTTTTGTGCTTTGCTTGGGGAAATGCACACAGCTGACTCGTTTTTGCTCGAAAAGTTGGCTCATCCATGCGATGAATCTAAAAATTCAATAAACTTATCTTTAAATTAAACTTTAAACTTTAAATTATCAGAAAATTGGACTATTATGCGTTGTGCTCTGGTGAATGTTCGCTTTCTGGCATGCTTGATTATTCTAGATGAACTCTCTTGGTTATCTGGATGAATTATCTTTAAGACATTTCTAAGACAGAGATAAGTGCCAGAAAGTATGCGTTTGTTAAAGCACAAAGCACAGACTCGATTGAAGCAGCTGAATAATATCAAAAAGTATTTGGTTGACCTTAATCTCTAAATCTAAATTGTTATTAATTTCCATTTCACTTTCCGAACTCACCCATCACCTGCACAGCTGACTCTTTCCCCCCAGTTCAAATTCCCAATCGGTTCACTTACCCAATCCATCTCATTTGGCCTCTTTTCATGTCCTTTTCGATCATTCGATCTTCCAATCTCATTTCTCAATGTCATTTAGCTGAAAAATCCGCTAAATTATGACCTCCAAGCTATTGGATGAGTTATTTTTTTGCACTTTTTTTGCTAATTTTTGTTCTTTGAACATTTTTAGCTCGTTTCGCAAAAGTTCGCTCGTTAGATCAAATGTCTTCGTTTTTCTGTGTAAACTGAGACTATTCTCTTTTAAAAACTGCGTCTTTTCTGTTCAAAGCACATTCATTTTCAAGAATTAACAGCTAATAACAAACGTTAGCCGTACTTTGTGCTCAAACGGAAACGCAGCGCTTCCAGCATACTTGGTTCTTTGGTTTGCTGCAAAAAGAGCACGTCAGAAAGAGTGTGTGCTTGAGCACAAAGTACAATCCAAAGAATATTTTCAATGCCGATACAATTACCCAACTTTCTCAGTACATTAGTGAATCCCACGTTCAAATCATTTACAGTAATCGATTTTTTCAATGAAACTTTTCAAGACTGATTTCACAAAATAATCCTAATCTCATTATTACCAAAAGAACTAAAAACATTCCAAAATTTCTCGAATTCCTTTCTATTTTTACCATTTTTTCACGTGAAACACTTCGTGACTTTTTCTCGGAAAATGATGTGATGAGGGAGTAATCGAGAGGACACTTTAGCAGTGATTCTTTTTCGATTTCTCCTCTTCTCCTTTTTGGATGAGCCTCGGATTTCACGCTATCATGCATTCATCGTTTTTTTTCTCTTTTCAATGATCACAAATACATCTTTAAAGAAAAAGGCGACTATTTTTAGCTTTTATTATACTTAACGTTTAATCACAAAATTTGTCATTCAGTGTAAAGCTTGAAATCTGTTCGAACTTTCAAATCATCAAACCGTATCGATCAAAGATAGGTAATTTGAGTTCAACCCATATAGTAGTTGTTTTGGAAAAGCTTTTAAAATATATTATTTGGACGTTATTATTAATTATTATTAATTTTATTAGTTACATTATTATTAATATTATTAATTACATTATTATTAATTTCTATACGTTACACCAGTTCACCATTTAAAGAAGCTTAGCGCTTTTGGGTACATTTCTTTTTCAATGTTCAACTTCAATTTCCAAAAATTTCTTATAAATTCTCATAACCCAGCTCGATTTGATCACAACCGAGATTTGCATTTGACTAAAAATAGCCTTAAATTCGACTTGTGCCTGCTCACGGTACGCTAAAACTACAATCGAAATCGAATTTCATGCATAAATCTAAAGAAGTTTTATAAGTTTTTAGTTAGGGAGAGATGAGGTATAGCTTTTATGCAGTACAAATATGATTAGGTCAATCGAGTAGTTTAGTTAATAAAGGTTATAGCGACGTAAACTTGGGCCTACGTTCAAAGTAGTGCTATTTTTGTAAGTCCCTCTTCTCACCTATTCTTCAATTCATCCAAGAGAGTTCCTTATTTGTTTGCAAAAAGACCAGAATCACCTCAGGGCAATCCCCTTCTTCCCATTGATATTGAGAAAGACGGTTTTATGTGTTTTTCTCTATTGAAGTGGCCTCTCTTTCATGCATTCGATGAGACTTTTTGGAAGAAAGACAGAATTTTTTGTGGATCCCATTTTGGTTCTTTTTCCTTTCTTTAGCCTCTTTTCGTCTTCAGATCGCTCGCACTTTGCGAAATCGCAAAAAACGCCTTTATCTTTCTATGGGAGAATGGAACAAAGCTATTTTTAGAGAATCGAAGCTTAAAATGGATTCTTTACTTAAGATTAGGGAACTTAATCAGCTAAAGCTTTGGCAACTTTAATTTTGTAAGGAAAACAAAAATCTAGTTCCAGTTCGAGAAAAAGTTCGCAAGTAAACCTTTTAATTCAGATTATGTTGACTAATCTAAGTTTTTCGACTTCAACTAAGTTTCAACTTCAACTAAGTTTCAGCTACAACTCTTTTTGACTCAAAATAACTCGCGTTTTCTCATTTCCACAATTTTCTCTTGTTTACACCCTTCAAAAAAAAAGCCTTCCCCTCCCCGGGGGTGTTTTGTTGGCCATTTTTCTTCCCTTTTTTTGTCTATTGCGTTCAACTCAATTTAAAGACGCAGATCCCTAGAATAAATTTCCGAACAAAAAGTGGGCTTGGTTTTGAAAAGGGATAAATCACTGTTCACTAAAATTAGATGCACTCAAAAAGTTTGCATTTTGAAGAATTTTCGCTGCTGAACATCATAGTTCCCCATAATGCTCTTGCTGACTGAACCCCTTCTCTTCTCCTCTACTCATTCCCTTTCTCCCTATTTTCCCTAATGACATTATTTGTCTTCTTTTCATCTTTCTCTTCTCCATTTCGTCTATTCTCTTTGTTTGTTTTTCGAACTTTTCTTTCCCTTTTCTTCCCTTGACTTCTTCAATTTCGTCGGGAACTCCCCGACCTCTGACACGCAACTTTATGTGGATTGCCGTTGGCACTCTACTATAGATCTATTTAGCTAGAAGATATTTAACTATTTAGCAGCCTATTTTGCTAGAAGATATTTATTCCTATTGAAAAGATCAATTTAAAATCAAATCGAAAGCCTTTTCCTTTCTCAATTTGTTCATTGGAGTTGAACAAAGAAAGTTTTTATCTTATTTCTGATCTTCTTAAGTTCAAAGCTTATTTTGTTCTAGTTACAATATGCCTAAACTTAAAAATTTCAGCTAAATCATTTTTGAAACGTTTTTCAGTAAAATCCGGCTCTGATCTAATCATTTTAAATCTTTGTACTTTCAAACCTTGGTGTACTTTCAATTGTACTTTCAAACCTTGGTGATTTGATGATTTCATTATCAAATTCTCATACTAATTCTAAACTTTGTACTTTGTTCCCATAAATTTTTTTTCTTTTTTCTTTTTCTTTTTCTCACTTTTTCATTTAAAAGACAGACATCTCAATTGAAAACAAAAGGAGATCAGAGAGAAAGAGAAAAAAGAAAAATAATGTCTGTCACTTCGTTTTCCCAGTGGAATTCACCACATCAAAAAGAAAAATCGCAAAAACACTCGAAAAAAGTTGATTCTCTTTGAACATTCCGATCATTTTTGATTTCAAATCATGGTTTCACCTAAAATTAATATGTTTTAAGCTTATGGATTTCAAAATCTATTTCAAATTTTCTTTTCAGTTGTGAATCGAGCGTTGCAACAACAGAAGGTGATGTTGAGATCAAAGATGATGTTGAGATTAAAGACGATGTTCAAACGAGATCGGCCGAGAATGAGACAAAGGTTTGGTTGAAAGCCAGTCACTCGAAGATCTAATCCCTTAAAATTACTTCAAATCAAACTAATCACTTAAAATCCTTACTGCTTGTTAAAGATGAGTTCTAAGTATTCAAGTATTTCATATTTAAACAAAAATTCTTGTGTGCTCAAAAGTAGAAACACTCCATAACTGGTGCACTCGGAACTTTAATTTAAAATATTCCTAGTACGGTGCTTGTGTGGAGATCAGAAAAACCGAACCAGTAGCCAGGTCCAAGTTTGGCTTGCAGGTTTGACCTGGAAAAACCCCTGCCTGTCAACCAGTTCCAGACTAGACCCGGTTTTTGAGCAGGTCCAGGGACTTTTGTAGGACAAATCTGCAGTCAAGCAAAGTCAAGAGCCAAAACTAGGCCAGGGCCCGGTCCACTAAACTATTTTACCATCTATCGTTTACCGATTCCTAGTAGATATCTAGCAATTTTTTTAAACGGATTTAGCAGCTTAGCATCTACCATTTTCGCAAAATCGATTTAGCAATTTTTAAGAATAGATTTGAAAATAAGTTTTGAATTTATTAAATGCTAAGTGCTAAATATCAAAATAATTTTGCTAAATTTAGTAAAATTCAGTTTTGTTTTTTGTAGGCTGAATATTTTGATGCCGCCACATAAAGCTAGCGTATTAAACAAAACAAAAAAAGCAAACATGGCGCTAAATTTTGCTAAATGCATTGAATTTAATCCGTTGAATTTTGCAAAACGGAAGTTTTCTGAATTTAGCAAAACTCCAGGTCCACCAAAGAAGTTTCGTGGATCCAAAAATTTTGCTAAATTAAGCAAATTTGCTTTGGAAACACCTTTGTGAATAACTGAATGTGCCAAGTAAGTTGCGTTTCTATTTTTGAGCACAAAGTACAGAAGTTCATTTTCTAACATTTACCCATTTACTCTTTTATTTAAGTGTTTTATCAATTCACGTTTTCTAGAATTGTAAAGAGAAACTGGTCAACAATCTCATTGTTTATGGACCGTGTGAAAAGAAAGAGCAGGTCAAAAAAAGAAAAAAGAAACTTATTTGTATCAATGATCCCTTTGTTTTAGTTTAAATGGGTCCGGCTTTACCTTGTTTTTGCAAAGAATCAGAAACCAAATAATTTCAAAATCTCAAAATTTCAGTCTGATCGAGAGAAACGCGGTGTCTTTGACACGATCAAACGATTGTTCACGAGTAATTCCGATGGAAAAGAATATGTGGATTATGTGCCATTGCAGAAGAATGACAATCTCTACTCGGCAAATGTAAGATTTTTATAACAGGATTTCTAATGTCAATTATTAGGATAATATAGATTTTTATGTAGTCTTTATTGTCTTTTTTCTTTCTGTCGTTCTGGGAAACTCAATTCACTGAATTTCATCTGACTATCTTTAGCTTGAGTTAAAATGAAAATTGAAAATATTGAGTCTATGTGGTAAATATTTTCCTGGACAACAAATGTACTTTATGTACATTGTGCTCCAAATGTACATTGTGTTCTAAACGGACCCTTTCTGGCGCACTCAATTCTGAAACTTTACCGAGATGTACTTTGTGCTCTAAAAATTTACCCTTTCTGGTGCACAAAAACATACCCTTTCTGGTCCATTCAATTCTTGAGTTTTCTAGTGACAACATTGACGGTAGAAAAATTTAAATTTAGTGTACCAGAAAGAGTTTGTTTTGAGCTTAAAGTACAACTTAAAAAACTGGGTTATTCTTTTTTCCTAAAGAATTAAATGTACCTAAAAATGTGTGTTTACATTTTTAAGCACCAAATACACCTGATTACAAGTTGATTACTGCCAAGAACTCAAAATTTTTCAGATCTCGATCCGTTTCACCAACGAGGAACGCGGGAAATACCATTTCATCTATCACAATTGTTTCAACTACAGAGAGCAGGGATATAGGTAGGAAATTGTTAGACTAAAGTAAAAATGGAAATGATTCCGAAGTATGAGAGTTTTGAGACTAAAATCCCCGCTCAAAACGTTTGCTCAGTAGGGCCATTTGAGAAATTCGCGAGTAAATTCTCATTTATCGTAAATTTTTCGAAGAGAAAGATAAAGCAAACGGTGGGATGAATTTTTCTGAAAATTTGGCTATGCTCCTAACTTTTTATGTCTCTATTTTTTTTTCTCTATTTAAACTAAAATAGGTTTCTGTAGAAGAAAGGGATCAAATCGCATAGCCGGGTCAGTTTTTTTGACATTTGACATTTTGTCAATCAATTTGACAATTTTCACAACTAGCCTTCTCGCCTTTTGAACTTTCTCAAAAAAACCGCTTTTTTAAAACACTTGCGCAGTATTTTATAGAGAAAAGATAGAGTCTTTCAATGAAACAAATCGTTTGTGTTTTGGTCGATTTACCGTTTCTTTCTAAAACGGTTAATAAAGATAGCAAACCAACACATAGTACTAAATCTAATCTAAGCACTTTTCTTTTTCTTTGTACCTGGATGATCTCCAATGAAATGTTCTCTGTAATCCCATTGGGGTTCCTGGAGGGATTAGGCTAACTTAAACAAAAGATTATTGCCTCAAAAAAAATTGTTGTGCTTTGATCAGCTTTGGGAAAAATTTAACAGAAAAGATCCAATCCAAAAAAAATCATCTTTTTGATTTTTTTTGAAAATCAAAAAGATTGCATATTCAGATTACACAATTACATAAAAAGTTGACCAATAAACTCAAAATCAATGCTGAGTTGATTCGATTTTTGAGAAGAATCAAGTTTGAAGCTATTAGGTGTGTGAAAAAGTAATCCACGTTTTTAACGTTTAGACCGTTTAGACGTTAAATATAAAAGACCATAAGTTTCGTTAAAATAATTTTTATTCAACGAAGTAATCAGGATTCGAAAGAACAACCTTTTGCCAACGTTCTACAAGTAAAGACATTCCACGATAATAAAAATCTTGGTCCTTAGAGGCGAAGAAAAGATCAACCTCGGTTTTGACATCTTCTTCGGAATTGAACCGTTTATTGGCCAGAGACAGAGACAGCCAAAAAGTTAGACAGAGACAAAAATAAATAATAATCAGATGGAGAAAGGTCTGGACTATAAGGTGGATGTGGTAAAACCTCCCATCCAACACTCTGGATTTTTTGTCGAGTCTGTAAAGAGACATGTGGTCGCGCGTTATCGTTCATGCGGTATCCATTTGTCCAACTTTTTGATAAAATTCATGGCATTCAAGCGTTTCCTTACGGTTCACCCATCACAATTTAATGTAAGGCCTATTTCTGAAGAGGTTGAACGAGGGTTTTCGAGAAGACAGCGTCTTATTTGGTCATCAGATAAAAATAAAAAACGTGGATTACCTTTTTCACACACCTAATATCTACAGGATAGCTCGTAATTATAGATTCGCAAGTAATTGTAAGATTTCATCAAAAATACATATCAAACCTAATCTTTGACAGGATTTATTTCAAATTTTAAAGCGACAAGCAAGCATTTGCAGTGATTTTATTGTCAAAATATCTACGGGGTGGTTCATAATTATAGGTGCAGATAAAAAGCTTTGTAGATAGACAAAATTCAACTTTAGACAGGAAACTTTTATTTTAAAATCTTTATCTGAAATCAATGAGCAATAAATTAACAATTGAATTCAAAGCAATCACAATTTTTGTCCGACCACGCTGTCAAGCGTTTAGAAAAGGCGTCTTTGGTGGTGACCAAGTGAACATTATCCCAGAGTTCATCCCAGACTTCATCCCAGCCTTTCAGAAAACTTTTCCTCAAACTCTTTCAACAATTTTATGCGGTTTTGAGCAAGCTTTTGTCTCAAGGATGGACAGAATAACCCATTGGATTAAGATCCACCAAGCTGGATTTTTTTGATTTTTGAGCAATTTTTAAAATGCCATTTAAAAAGATGAAATCAGGAAAATTTTCAAAAATCTTGAACTTTCTTGGCTTTTTGGGAGCCCCGTCTTGTTGGAATGTCCAAATTTGATTTTTGAAATGCTGTTGTGCTCAAAATTTCAGCTTTGAGGAGATCGAGATAGTTAAAAATAGATAATAAGCCACCTGTAATCAACTTTAACCAGCGCTGACCATATTTCACAATTTTTCAGCACTCGGGTAGCCGTCGATTTCACGGTGGACATTGTCGAGAGAAATTTTTTCTCTTTCCTCTCTGCCGGGGATCTTCCGAAACCGCAACTTTTTCTCTACATGTCATTGATGTTTTTATTCGCCGGAGCTCTTTGGACACACATATTGTGCATGAGCAAGTGAGTGAAAATTAAGAAATCATCGATTTTACCCTTTCTTTGGCTCAACTCATAAAAACAACTCTTTCTATCATACACATTTCTCAAAATGCAGAAAAACAACGTATTCAGTATGCCAGAAGATGAAGGTTTCCATTTTCAAACCAAAAATCTCATAAAGTTCAGGACAGAAAACCAAATGAAATTCTAAGAAATCGAGTTGATTCAATTTTATATTCTTCTGCATCTAATTCTATTTTATATTCTTCTTTTTCAGCTCATCCGACATTTTTCGAGTTCACTACTTGATGACATGTCTAGTCTATCTCAAGGTAAACTTCAAGAGTTTAAAATTTTACAAAACTCTTTAGGCTTTGTCGCTATTTTTTCATGGAGTCAACTACTACTTTGTGGCAAAATACGGTCATCAGAAAGAGATCTGGGCTCTCGTTTTCTACATTACACATTTGTAAGTCTTTAAGGTCAAAGCTTTAACAATTAGAATCTAGATTAAAAGGAGCAATGCTTTTTGGAACGATTGTTCTCATCGGCACTGGGTACACGTTTTTCAAGAATTTCCTGACTGAACGAGATCGAAAAGTGTTCATGGTTGTGCTTCCGTTACAGGTGAGCGAAAACTGGATGATTTGTGGTTGCTAGTTGATAGTTGTAGCGTTTGCTATGTATTGAAAAAGTTGGAGATTCAGTACTTTTCTGTTAAAACTATTCAAAACGGATACTAATCAATTACTTAAAACTTTACATAAGAAATAGCATTAAGGTTGTTTCTTTTAGAAAAGGATTGATAGCGTTTCTAATTGGCATCAATGTTTGCCTTAAATTTTGTTAGATTTTCGCTACAAATTCTACATTCTACAAATTCTACTACAGTTAAGCAAAAACTAACTGAAATACTCAAGGTTGAAACTGGCCTGAAAAGCTGATTTCATCTTTTAACAAGCCTAAAAAGATGATTTCATCTTTTGAGAACTATCAATTATTGAGAAATCGATTTACTTTTACGATTACGATTACGATTACGATTACGATTACGATTACGATTTATGATTTACGATTTATGATTTACAATTTATGATTTATTACGACTTTTACGATTTATTTAGGATCTAAGATTCTCAGATCGAATACAGCCCCGGGTTTTATCCCGGATTTCCCTGATTTGAAATCAAATTAAAAGTTTAACTATGACTTTTTGCTAAGTTTCCTTGTTTTAAGATTAAGCTTACATACTATTAGGGCTAACTAGCGGCCTGAAGTTTATCACTTTGACATAGTAATTTTTTTCCTTTTCAGATCATTGACAACATCGCTTTGATCATCATTGAAGAAAGCGAGTTCGGAAATCAATCCTATCAATTTTGGTGAGTGATTTACCCTACAATATTTACCCTACAATGAATCTGTTCTAATTCACTTTCAGGTATCAAATCTTTGTCTTCTTGGATTTAATTTGCTGTTTCTTGATCTTTTTCCCGATTATCTGGTGAGTTTTTTTTGGGGAAATTTTTCTGTAAAACTGAAACTTGGCACTTAAAATCTTGGCGTAGTTTGTGTTTTACTTTTTGCGGAAGAGATTAAGCCTCGAGCCAAGATTAGAAATCGGCTGATTTCTACCCACAACGAGGCAAAAAGTTCCATTTTTTGGACAAAAATCAAAAGCCAGAGAATGATTTGATTTAAAGAAATGAAAATAAGTTAACTTCTAGCAAGTAGAAAGATCATATCTAACTAAAAAAGAGTCAAATATATATGCTTTATTCAGTTGACAAAACAAAATCACAATAATTACCCGGGACACCACTCAAAACACACCCAAAAGATAAATAGATACCTCAAGAAAGAATCACAGAGCAGTCAAATCAATTGCCGAAATTGCGGCTTTAAATCTAGCCAAGATGGAAATATCACGAACATGAGGGGGTAAAATGTTCCAGAATTTAATGACTCGATTAAAAAAGAAACTGTGGGGGCTTTTAGAGGAAACGGAAGGTGGGCGTATGAGAAAAGGCCCCGTAGGCCTTCTGGGCCTTCTGGGGCCTTCTGGAGGCGCCCCGTAGAGAGCCGAATTCAAAGTGACCAGAAAAAAGGGGGTCGGGATGAATGCCTTTAACAATTTTAAAGCATTCCACTAAATCGATGATAAGGCGGCGTTGGTGTAACATTTCAAGACCAAAGAGTTGCAATCTATCAGAATAAGTAAAGGAGGAGAATTTGTCAAAATTAATTTTATAAAGAGCAATTCTGGTGAAGTGCCTCTGAACACGTTCTATTTTTTTGAATAAGATTTAATAGGGAAGGAGACCAAACCAAAGAAGCTTATTAAATGAAAGTCTAATGGCGAAGAAATGATAAAAGAACAAGAACATCACTTTTGTGAGACTGTTTCTATCAAAAATAGAATTCTTGCAAGTGGATTTATCACTGAAAAACTGAAAAATCAGATTTATCCCTGAAAAACCTTGTTATTTTTACGATTACGTTGTTTATTTTATTCTAAATTTTAGGTCAATGCATCACCTCGTCGAAGGCGCTCGATCCGACGGAAAAGCGGCGTTTAATTTGGAGAAATTGAGAATCTTTCGACAGTTTTACCTCTTGGTTATCTGTTATATCTACACAACAAGGATTATCAAGTTTTTATTATTGGTAAGTTACAGAACAAAAAAAATGGTAAAAGATAAAAGCATGGTAAAAGTAATGAGCAATGAAAGTGATTTTAGACTTCAAAGAGTATTCAGTCTCATCTGAACAGTTTAACACTTGTTTTGCTTTGCTTGGCTTTACCATTAGATCATTTTTAAGAAAGAAAAGCTGTAAATTTTAAGTCACTTTTATCGTTAACTCGATTTCACCATTTCAGTACGGTATTCCATTCGATTTGGAGTGGACATGTGAGGCTGTGGTCGAGATTTCAACACTCTTTTTCTTCGTTGTTGTCGGCTACAAATTTCGGCCTCAATCCAGGAATCCGTACCTCAAATTGAACCAAGAAGACTCCGAGGATGATGATGGAGTGGCGTAGGTTTTGTAAAGATTTTTGAAAGATTTCATAGATCTCGAAATTTTCCTAGCCGAACACTCATTGGCTAACTTCTATTAGGTTGAGGAAAAAGTAATGTCGGTTTTTGCCACAAAACTGTTTATTGCTAAAAACATAAACAAAAGCAGATCAATCAATGAGATATTCTCCCTTATTATTGATGACTTGTTTCCATTTTCGTCGCAAGTCCCTGATCCCATCCTCAAAAAAATGGGGAGTTTTCGAGCCTTCATTCTTAACTTCATTCCTAGCCACACATTGACTAACTTCTATTTGGTTAGCTGTTGTAAAAACGAAAAGAAAAGGAAATGTTGTAAAAAGTAACGTTTTGAAATCAAAATTACTCACCAAAGGGGATAGCTAAGAGAAACGGAACTGTCAATTAATCACTCAAAGCTGTCAAAGCTTTTTGAAGTGATAGCCAGTTTCTCTTTCAAAAGAAAATCAAGTGAACAAAGTATGACGATTTCAAAAGATGTAGTCTTGTAGAAATGATAGAGCAAAGTTCATTTAAAATGATGAAAACAAATATTTCAAGCAATTATATTTCAAGAATAGATTTCCCATTACATTTCAAGAATAGATTTCCCATTACAATGTGCTTTTGTGCGCGAAACTTGGAAACACAGCATTTCTGATGACATGTAGAGGAAAAGTTATGGTTTCGGGAGATCACCGGCGAATAGGAAAGAGAAAATATTTCTCTCGACAATGTTCGCCAATGTTCTCTCGATAATCGACGATTACCCGGGTGCTGAAATTGTCAAAGCTGGCTAAAGCTGATTAGATACCGTATCTTCTCTAATAGATTTTTCTTTTACTTTTTAGATGGTATAGCCATTACCGTATTTTCTCTAATAGTAGTGCACCCTGAGCTTCGCCTAAATTGCTCGAAATCTCGAAAACCGCTTATCAGAACCTAGTGATGTGGGGTCGGAAAATGTAGCTGACGATGAGATCTAGTGGGGGATTTGAGTGTTGAGTTTCTGTGAAAGCTTGGAAACCGTAAAATAGTCATCAACTCGGCTCGGCCGAATGACGACTATTAGGGAAAATGAGGTATCTTAAAACTTAGTTCTTCTCAAAAATCGAACCAACTCAAGGCCTGAGCTTGATTTTGAGTTTATTTTTCAAGTTTTTATGGAATCTTTATGTAATTATGTAATCTGGATCTAAACTCTAATCCGAATCTAATCTTTTTCATTTTCAGTCCCTTGAATACTTTGGAATCTTTCCCAAAGTTGACCAAAGCACAACAATTTTTTGAAGTAATAATCTTTTGAATAAGTTAGCTTAATCCCTTCAAGAACCCTAACGGGATTATAGAATTAGAAATCATCCGGCTAAAAAGAAAAAGTGCTTGTAATTTTAGTCTCAAAATTCCCATACTTTAGTCTAACAATTTGATGAACTGCTTCAATAATTGAGCATAAAGCACACCAATACGGCAAAAAAAAACTTTTGCTAGATGCATTTAAAAAAGCACAATAGATTCAACAAGTACCTACTGTACTTTGTATGCCAAAATTAGTTTCGAAATGTAGCCTTTAGTGTAAAAGTATCTAAAGAACTTGTCTATTTCAGAGCTTTTTTAGATTTATACTTGTTTACTTGTTTACTAGTTTACTTGTTTACTTGTTTACTTGTTTACTAGTTTACTTGTTTACTTGTTTATTTGTTTATCTAAGTTCAGTATCTAAGTTCTCCTTTCAGTTTGACGCAATCAAATCTCCTGGAAGGGGTGATCAATCGATCAAAGAGCAACGGGGAAACGGTTCTCATTGATATCCCGGGAACGATCGGCGGTTTGGATGAGACAGACAGTGATGGAGAGGAGGAAACAACAATAAGACCCCATAGAATGAGTCATCCCGAAAAAACACTCCTTTAAGGCTTTTATATTATTCATTTTCCCATGTATTTTGTGGATTTTGAAACATTTGAACACTCATTTTCTCCCTTCTTTTCCCCTTCTATTCCCCTTTTCTTCCCCTTCTCACTATGGACACCGGTCGATATAAAATGTAAACAAGCCCGCCTTTTTCAAAATTTCGATCAGAAAACTCGATACTAGGTATTGGATTTTGGAGGAAGTTTTGAAAAATTGGAATACAATTCGAAATTGAATTATAATTAAGAATTGAATGACAATTAGAAATTGATTTACAATTAAGAATTGAATGGCAATTAAGAATTGAATGACAGTTAAGAGTTGAATGACAATTCGAAACTGACTTACAATTAAGAGTTGAATTACAATTAAGAATTGAATTACAATTCGAAACTGACTTACAATTAAGAAATGAATTCCATTTTTTAAAAGCCTTATCCAAATCTCAAATCCCATCAAGTTTTGAGCTATCAATACTATCAATTTTACCCTTATCCATTCAACTCTCAAAGCCAAATTGATAAGTTTCATCTAAAACATTGAATTTCTAGACTTTTCCAAGCCATCGTTGTACTTTTTGCCTTTTCTCGATCATTTAAAATCTATTGTCAAATTTGCACTCAAAAATTGCTGAGAAAACCGACAAGTCGACGATTTTTGTCCGGTTTTCCTGACGAGCTTGCAAATTCTCAATTTTCTGGGCAATTGCAAATTTTCTGGCCAAAATCAATTCCACTATTGTTTTTGCTTATCTTTTTTTAGGCTTTTGAAAAATTTTTTAAACAATACAACTAAAATCCTCTGGTTTTTCACTTTAAAACTCGTCAACTGTTCACCGGAAAATTTTTTTTGAATTCAACTTCATATCTAAAGCCTATTAGCTCCCTTTTCACCCTTTGCCCTAGGATTTTTCTTTTTGACAAAAATTGGTGGTCAGATTTTCTTATCATTTTTTGAGTAGAGAGCAGAGAAAGTGACCGTTTAAACAGGGAAAAAAGGAAGCTTGAAAAAAGGATTCTATTCTTGAGTTTTGTTTTGTTTGATCTATTGGATCTAAAAATTAGATTTTAATTCTATTTTAATTCTATTTCCTTAAATGAATCCTTAAATTCATTTCCTTAGATTCATTTCCTTAAATCCTTTTCCCTCATTTGATATCGATTGGTTTTGTTTTGAGTCATTTTTCATTACTTTTCTTTTACCCTTTTAAATTCCCTTTTAAATTCCCTTTTAAATAACCCTTTTAAATAACCCTTTTAAATACCCTTTTAAATTCCCTTTTAAATTCCCCTTTTAAATAAACTTTTTGTCCCAGACTTTAAGCATTTGTTTCAAAGAATGGCTGTGATTTTTGTGAGATCTTTCATTGTTTTTTTGTTTTTCTTGTTTTTTTTTGTTTTTCTTGCGTTTTCACTTTGTTTTTTCGTTTTTTGACTATTGCAATTGGGTATAGTTGAAAAAAAAACCGTTTAAACATTACGTTTAAACAAAAAAGATATTACGGGCCGGAGAATCGACAATAAATCTTTATTTGAAAATCGAAATTTAATTGGAATTAATTGGAAACGGTTTCGAGCCGATTTTTTATTTCTTTATTTTTTCTATAATACATTTACTTGGCAATTTTGTAGATTTGGTTTTTAGGTGTCTTTTTTGGTCAAAATAAATTTAAGACTCTGGCGCGTTCGACTTTACATCAAATGAAGCGTTCAGTTTGCTAGAAAGGGTGCGTTTCTATTTTGAGTATAAAGTACACTTAAAAAGAATGTAGATTTGAGACATTTCTAGACATTGTTTAGTTCATTTTGTCATTATCTTCGAAACTTCTAGTTCTAGACGAGCCTCTAGTTCTAGACGAATTTCTAGTCCTAGATGAGCTCCTAGTTCTAGACGAGCTCCTAGTTCTAGACGAATTTCTAGTTCTAGACGAGCTCCTAGTTCTAGACGAGCCTCTAGTTCTAGACGAGCTTCTAGTTCTAGACGAGCTTCTAATTCTAGACGAGCTTCTAATTCTAGACGAGCTTCTAGTTCTAGACGAGCCTCTAGTTCTAGACGAGCTTCTAGTTCTAGACGAGCCTCTAGTCCTAGACGAGCTTCTAGTTCTAGACGAGCCTCTAGTTCTAGACGAGCTTCTAGTTCTAGACGAGCTTCTAATTCTAGACGAGCTTCTAGTTCTAGACGAGCTTCTAGTCCTAGACGAGCTTCTAGTTCTAGACGAGCTTCTAGTTCTGGACGAGCTTCTAGTCCTAGACGAGCTTCTAGTTCTAGACGAGCCTCTAGTCCTAGACGAGCCTCTAGTCCTAGACGATCTTGATTTGAGCTTGATTTGATTGCATTCATTTGATTCAAATTTGATTTGACTTTGATTTGAAGTTGTTTTAAATGAAAAATCTTTTAGATCAAGTTAAAAGGTGAAACTTAAATCTCCCGAAATGCAAATCTCAAAGCGATCTTTGTTCTTTGAGATAAGATTCCAAATTTTACATCTAGAAATTCCCGATTTTCCCACCAAATGAAATATTTTGACCCGATTATCGACGCTGATAACGAGATTTTCAAAGAATTTCTTTGAAAAGAACGAAAGAAAAAAGAAAAAGTGCGAATAAATTGTAGAGAATGATTTGAAAAAGAAATAAAAAAAGCGCAAAATTGGCTATAATTTAGGCGATTCGAACAATGAAATGACCTTTTGAAAAACCTCTATTCAAAGAGGATGGGAAACGAAAGAATTATCAGTTCTGAAGTTTCGCGAAGATTGATTCAATCTTCACAAATCTTTGATTCAAAGGGTTGAATTAGAATCGATTCCGCCAGAAAGCTAATTTTGAACTTTAAATTGACTTTAAAAAGAACTGAGTGATAAAACTGAGCTTTCTAAAGTGCAGTTTGAAAGCGTTGAAAGTTTGAAAGCGTACTTTTGAAAGCGTACTTTTGAAAGCGTACTTTTGAAAGCTACAGTAATCTGTTTTGTCCAATCTATCGCCTCGATTCCATTTAAAGCAACAAAGATCAAGAGCTTTCAAAATTAGATACAAAATTAGGTTTTAATTAAAAGTTATGAGAGAATTCTACTGTTAGGATTCTACTGTTAGGATTAAAAGATACAATAAATCGAGAGAATGCAAGGAAATCTCACAGATTAAAGATCTTTAAAGAACTTTAAATTGTTCTTTATTCATAAATAGTTTAAAAGGAAAAAAAGACTTTGGATTTGATTTTCCAATCCAATTCAAAACAAATCCAAATCAAAGTCAAATCCAAATCAAAGTCAAATTCAAATCAATTCAATTAAAACAAGTTCAAATCCAAATCAAATCCAAATCAAATCCAATTCAAATCCAATTCAAATCGAATCAGAATCAGATCAAAATCAAATCAATTCAATCAATTCAATCAATTCATTCAATTCAATCAATTCAATCAATTCAATCAATTCAATCAATCCAATCAATTCAATCAATTCAATCAATTCAATCAATCCAATCAATCCAATCAATTCAATCAATCCAATCAATGAATTCAATGAATTCAATCAATCCAATCAATTCAATCAATTCAATCAATTCAATCAATTCATTCAATTCAATCAATTCAATCAATTCAATCAATTCAATCAATCCAATCAATTCAATCAATCCAATCAATGAATTCAATGAATTCAATCAATTCAATCAATCAATTCAATCAATTCAATCAATTCAATCAATTCAATCAATCCAATCAATCAATTCAATCAATTCAATGAATCAATCCAATCAATCAATCCAATCAATTCAATCAAATCAGTCAAATCAATCAAATCCAATTCAATCAATCCAATTTAAATCAAGATTTTTCATCCAAATCTTTAGCTAATCAAGATTTTAAAGTGTTCAACTTAACTTCCAACCAGTCAAACTTTCGAGTAGAGATTTTTCAGTTAAAATTCAGTTAAAATTCAGTTAAATTTTAAATCTTAGTCCTTCGCCTAATTAAATTTCCTAAATTGTCCACTTTTGATTTTGCTCATTTTTGTTTTCCTCAAATTTGAAGATCAAAAATTTCGATGGGTTTCACCCACTTAATCCTTTTTTTGGGGGGAGCCGCTTTGCATTGCAATTAGTCTCTTTGAAAAAAGGCTCCTTTTCTGCATTTTCCATCAATAACCCATTGTTGTTTACGTTCTTTTTTCGAAGAAATTTTCATAAATCGATGCTGTTTTAACTGTTTTATTTTTCGCTTGATAACAGGGGCTGAGTTTGAGTTGAACTCTTGTTATTTCTCTATTGAACCGGGCAAACTGTAAGTTGTCGGTACTCGTTTGTACTTTATTAGACTTTTGTAAAAATCAAAATCAAAATCATTCTAAACAAATCTGTTAAACCAGCTTTTCGATTGCACTTTTTTCAGAACTTGCCTCTTTATCATGCCTCTTTATTCATGCCTCTTTATTCATGCCTCTTTATCACGACTTTTTGCTTTTTTCAATCTTTTAATCAATTCCACTATAAATTGGATAGAAAAAGCGGGGAATTTTGAAAGCTAAACTAATAGTATCGACTAGAGTTCGGCAAACAAAACCAAAACCAAAACAGACCAAAACCAAAACCAAAACAGATGAAAAACAAAACCAAAACAGACGAAAACCAAAACCAAAACCAAAACTCAATTTGCATATAAATTAACATGTAAATTTAAAATTGTAAAATGCAAATTTTAATGTAAAATGCAAATTTGCCTTTCACTTTTTGCTCACTCCACAAAGTCTCGCGGCCGAAAAAAGGACCAAAACATGACCTCGAAATTTCGAAACAAAAAATAGCCTATGGGATAGATTTTTAAACGCTGATTTCAAATCTGCAGACAGATTTTCGCTAGCTCCTCCCAGTCGCGAGATATTGGCGAGTTTTGGTTAGTTTTGGTTGGTTTTGGTTTTGTTATGGCTTTGGTGGTTTTGGTTTTGGTTAAGTTTTGTTTTCCGAAGTCTAGTATCGACCCTCACTCGCTTGTCCATCCACTGACTAGGTTACTTTGCTAAAAATTAACTTTTAAAAGTGCCTTTTGAGAGTCTATAGTAATTGGTCTGCAGATTAGATGTCTAGGCATTTTGGTGCAAAAGTTAAAGTCGCTTAACTCTCTGAGCTCGCTTATCCGCGTGTCAACCTTGAAAGATTTGCTAGACAACCAAATTCTACCTTTTCATCCAAACCAAATCACTAAGCAAGTCTTTGAGCTTTGACTTTGAGTCTTTCAAGCTTTGAAGCTTTGAAAGAATTTGAAGCTTTGAAAGAATTTGAAGCTTTGAAGCTTTAAAAGAATCACTAAGCTTTGAAGCTTTAAAAGAATCACTAAGCTTTGAAATCACTAAGCATAGGAAGTACGGCGCTTTAAAAAAAAGGCGCTCTTTTGCTTAAAAGGTTATTTCTATTATATTTAAGCTTTTGTTAAAAAAAGGGGAAATGTTTGACCGGAGACGGACTCGAACCCTTGATCTCTTGCACTACAGATGAGTTGGATATTTTGTAAAATATTTCCAAAATTAGCGAATTTCATTTCGAAATGATTTCGAGTTTTAATTGAGCTCTTTGCAAAGCGTTAAACCTCAACTTTCCCCCCTCAATTTCATTCTCAGGAGGAAATTCGACCTTTGCCCAAACGGAAATTGGGGTTATCAGTAGAAAAATCGACGGGGAACGAAAAGAATGAGAAATTTCAGACACCAGAATTAATGTGATTCATTAGAACACATATTTTTCTCGATTTCTCAATTTTCTCAAATTTTCTTCTCGATTTTCCCTCTCATCGAATGAGTGATCGCTTTTTTTTCGATTGCTCTCATTTTCTCGTGTTTCTTTTTTCTTATTTCTTCAATTATTTGACGGTATTCTTCATCTAGCTAATATTTGATTTTTTAGATTATTTTCTTTTGAATGTTGATTCGAATTCAATGACGTTTCGCACCGAGATGAACAGCAGTTTCCTGCAAAATGAGGTCAGTGAAAGACAACGCAAAAAAAGAAGATACTAAAGATAAAGATAGAGAAGATAGAGAAGATAAGAAAAGATGCGTTTTCGAAAAGGCCTCTCACCAGCACCAACAAAATACCGTAGCCTCTCACCCAGTTTCCAACAATTACCTCAATTTTTTGATATCATTTCGTAAAGAATCTCAATGATACTGATCTAATGGGCGAATTGAGCTGATCGAATGTAAACTACCGGGGTTTTTTAAATGATATTTCTCTAAAATCAATGTTTTTTTAAAGTAAACGAATTAGAGAAATGCCTAAAATAGTTCTTTTTTTGCTTAAAATAATAAATATATCCATTCAACTGTTGCTTCAAGCGGTGCCCTAGATGTTGATTCAAGCGGTGCCCTAGATAGAGAATGTTTACGAGTTTTGTGCACAAAAGAAAGAATAGTATAAATATTATTCACTAATAGCTTTTTTGGCCAACTTTACTCAACAAAAGTTCACTGAAAAAATTATGCAAATCTGAGAGAGCTTTTTTTTTTTGACTTGTTTACTGGTACAAAAGGTACTTGTTTACTGGTTCTTTTTGGGAGAGGGCAGAACGTTTCACGTACTTTGCCGACTTTACAGAACGGTTTTTAATGCTATAATGCAATAATATGATTAAAAGCTTGCTGCTAACGGTATCAGTACGGCAGCCAGACCTTCTATCTATTTTTTGGGTGGCTTCGGTGATGTGGATGTAGATTTTAAGTCTTGGAAATTGCAGAAAACCGTAAAAATCGGCTTTTAGGAGGAGAGAGAACTTGAAGAACAGAACTAGATTGTTAAATTTATCTAGATTTAGCTAGATTTAGCTAGATTTTGCTAGATTTTGCTAGATTTTAGTTGAAAGACCATTTAATTATTTAGATAATCATTGAGTAAAGAGTTGAAAGATCATTTAATCATTAGTAACTGTTAAAGAAAAGTTATAACCAATATTTCTAGGGAACAGAAGGTGATCGATCTTCCGTTCGATCATCGGAAGCTTCGGGTGGACGGGTGAGCCCCGGAGAAGAATGGAAAGAAAAAGCGAGATTAGAGGAGAAAATCGAGGCGATCAAGCTAAAGATTAGCAAACTGAATCTGAATTGTGAAGGTTTGTTTGGGAAAAAGAAAGGTTTAAGCATCGGAAGCTTTAAGGCTGAAGGCTGAAGGCTGAAAGCTTTAAAAGGCTGAAAGCAAAGGCTGAAAGGTTTAAAAGACTGAAAGCTTTAAAAGACTGAAAGCTTTAAAAGACTGAAAGCTTTAGAAGGCTGAAGGCTTTAAAGGGTTGAAGGCTTTAAAGGGTTGAAGGCTTTAAAGGGTTGAAGGCTTTAAAAGACTGAAAGCTTTAAAAGACTGAAAGCTTTAAAAGACTGAAAGCTTTAAAAAGCTGAAAGCTTTAAAAGACTGAAAGCTTTAAAAGACTGAAAGCTTTAAAAGACTGAAAGCTTTAAAAAGCTGAAAGCTTTAAAAGACTGAAAGCTTTAAAAAGACTGAAAGCTTTAAAAGACTGATAGCTTTAAAAGGCTGAAAGCAAAGGCTGAAAGCAAAGGCTGAAAGCAAAGGCTGAAAGCAAAGGCTGAAAGCAAAGGCTCAAAGCAAAGGCTCAAAGCTTTTTTCCTTTCGCAATAAGCAATTCATTGAATTTTTAGCTGATGTGGAGAACTTCTTGGAGATGTCAAGAGCGGCGGAGATGTCGCGCGGGATCGCCAATCCACAAATGGCCCGAATTAAGCAACATTTCGAGAAAAATAACAAAAGGAACACACAAGATTTGGAGTCATTGCAGGTAAACCTTTCAATTGCCAAGATTTCAATTGTCAAGATTTCAATTGTCAGCGTTTAAATCAACTGAAACTCTGGCTCTAATCATTTCCAAGCAAAGAAGCTTATGAAAAAGCATTTGAGAGTCACATTTGTGTCAGATTTGTGTCAAATTTGCGAAAAATCAAAGTTTAATAAAGTTTATAGTCAATTTTATTATTAATCAATATCAATATTATTGTAAATTTATTAATTTATCATTTTAAAAAGAATTGTAAAGAATATAAGGGGAATTTGAGTGAAAAATGTAAGTGAAACTTTAGCTCATTCATTTACCGGGTGTTACGCCTTATATAAAGCTAGATTCAGTCGAAAATGTTTCAGATTACTTAAATTTTGTTTTAATTTCATTTCTATAGCCTTTTTTTGCATTTATATTCAAGTTTTGAGCCTGATTGATCGGCTCTAAGCAAAACTAGGGCCATTTGAAGTTCCGGCAATGAAAGCGAGCACTGGCACGGCGATGCTTTTGTCGATAAAAACTGGTTAGCTGTCTGGTTAGCTGTCTATTTGTGCATTTGTCTGATGAAATCGTGCTTTGAATGCTTTAAAGGCCCTAGTTTTTCTTATAGCCGATCAATCAGGCTAAAAATTGGAAGATCCATGTAAAAATGTTATAAAAATGAAAATATAAAAACCTTTAAGTAATCTGGAAGATTTTCGACTTAATTTGCCTTCATATAAGGCGTAATATTATAGGCTGTAAAGTGTAATATAGGCTGTAAAGTGTAATATAGGCTGTAAAGTGTAATATAGGATGTAAAGTGTAATATAGGATGTAAAGTGTAATATAGGATGTAAAGTGTAATATAGGATGTAAAGTGTAATATAGGCTGTAAAGTGTAATATAGGATGTAAAGTGTAATATAGGATGTAAAGTGTAATATAGGCTGTAAAGTGTAATATAGGATGTAAAGTGTAATATAGGATGTAAAGTGTAATATAGGCTGTAAAGTGTAATATAAGCTTTAAACCGTAATACTGGCTGTAAAGTATCTTTGATCAATTTTTAAATTCAGAAAAAGCTGGCCATTTATGAGCAACGATTGAGAGAGTTGGATTCGGGAAATGTTTTGGAAACGAGCTCAAGATCGGGAAATATTGTATCGAGTGTCGAAAGGGGAATCAAGTAAGAAATGAAAAAGAATCTAACGCAGTTTATTGAACATAATAAAGTAACGGATGGGAAAGAAAGATTTCCGGAGAGATTGAACCCTTTCCTCTTTTTACCCTCTTTGAACCCTCTTTATGCTTTCCGGGCAAATGCTCTAACCATTCAGCTATTCGGTATCTGCTTGTCAGAGAAGAAAGAAGAAATACAAGGGAAAAGAGAAGGAAACAGAACAGAGCAGAACAATTGGTGGTTCTTTTCCTTTATACATCCGCAAAATTCTATCATTTAATGATCAAAAAACGATTTTACTGGGCTTCCAGGCAAAAATTTCTCATGTAGTTGTTGAAGTTTTGTGCGGTTTTGTGATTCATCTCCAATTCTTTCGTACAATAGCCGATCGAGGTCCACTGTTGAGTCCATTTATAATCGTAGGATTGTGAGAAATGGAATTTCCATGCCCTTCATCCATGAGTCAACATGCAGGCAGATCGCTTCGGCCTACATGTTGGCACGACGTTTTGTCACATCTCCATCGGGGATTCTGATTGAGCGATAGCTTCATCATAACGTAATGGTTGGCGCATGTGCATAGTAAGTAAGCAAGATGAGTAAGCAAGCAAGCAAGCAAGCAAGCAAGCAAACAAGCAAGGAAGCAAGCAAGCAAACAAGCAAGGAAGCAAGCAAGGAAACAAGCAAGGAAGCAAGATGAGTAAGCAAAAAGTAGAGTAAGCAAGACGCATAGAAAGCAAGATACTGTGTTGTTAAAAGGACGAGATTGCATCGGCGTCGAGCGTCGCCTAAATTGCTCGAAATCTCGAGAACCGCTTATCAGAATCTATCGATGTGCGGTCGGAAAATGTAGCTGACGATGAGATCTAGTGGGGGTTTTGATTTGACGATGAGATTTGAGTGTTGAGCTTCTGCGAAAACTTTGAAAGCCGTAAAATAGTCACAAACTCGGCTCGCCGGGGTGCACTACAATTAGAGAAAATACGGTCTATTAATTTGATTTCAGAAAAACCGGTGCTACGATGAAGGGCTTAACTGGACAAGTGATCTCGGCTCCTCTTGATTTAGCTCATATTATTCGCTCAAGTTTTGGATCAGCTGATAATATTAATGATGAAACTGGAGGAGGTTTGGAGAAGAATTTAAAGCTTTTAAAGCTTTTAAAGCTGGCTGTTTTGTTAAAAAGCTGTTTGTTTTATGAAAAAGCTGACTGTTTTGTTAAAAAGCTGGCTGTTTTGTTAAAAACAAAGACAAAAACAAAGACAAAAACAAAAAGATATAAACAAATTTTAGAAACATCAACGAATGTCGGTCAATCGGTGTTCTATGCGAGATCGGAGAACGCGTAAGTGATCGATTAAGTTTTCTGTAAACGCACACTTGGCTGGCATAGCTCATAGCTGGCTGGCATAGTTCAATAGGATTTCAGTGCATCAGAAACGATGTTTTTACTTGAGCACAAAGTACAGCCATTTCGTAGCCGAAAAGCATTACAGTGCCGCCTCAACCTCATCAGCTCAGCCAGCCTCAACAGCCGCTGCATCAAATAAGAGTTCAACTCTTCCACCTGGTCTCCGAATGCCCACCTCGCCCACTCACTCAAATAAACCGATGTCCAACTATCAGACACCGGAGACACATTTATGTGAGTGCAAAAGAGTTGTCGGCCATTGTTGTTTGGTAAACAAAGGTAGACTTTGTCTTATAATGGTACTGGCAAGGCTTTACATTTAGTGACTTTGAGACAAGTTAATCCATTAGCCATACAAACTACAAAGTCAGACTACAAACTACAAGATCAAACTATAAACCATTGTAGAAAACGCGTAGAATAGATATTTTTGAAAAACTTTTTCTACCAAAAAATCCGCCCAACTTTAGGCTTTCGAATGACACAAAAATCAAGTCAAATTGTGTTTTTTGCACGTTTTTGTTTCAGGTTTGTAGTTTCGTCCCGTGGGAAGGCTATAAATGGCTCGTTCTCCGGGTACAAATAATGCTTTTTCTTGATTTTAATGTCGTACCGAAAGCCTAAAGTTGGCTCGATTTTTTGGTAAAAAAAGATTTTTCAAAAATATCTATTCTACGCAATTCTACAAGGGTTTGTAGTCTGATCTTGTAGTTTGATCAATGTCTACTTTTAGCGTTACAGTACTTCTTTCCAAGATCTTCTGCCAAAACTCTATAGTACAAAGAGCTTAACGACCGGCGCTGGCGTAGGACTGTGAGACATTTGATACCCGGCCCTTTTTCCATTGCCATAACTTTGAGCTCCAATATCTTGCTATTGGGCAGTCCAAATTAAATAGTTTTTATATCAATCGATAGAGAAAGACTTGGCGCATCCAATGATACCAAAACTATTTAAATTGGACAGCCCAAAGTCGAGATATTCGAGCTCAAAGTTAGATTGCCAATGGCAAACGGGGCGGGCGCGTATCAAATGTCCGATAACCGGCATTTGTGTTAAAGCCAAGTTTAACTGTACCCATTAAATGCTCTGGTTCTTTTCAAGAAGAAATCTATTCAAACTATTCAAACTATTAGATTTAAGTAAAGTTATGCTTTGAAAATGTTTATGCCGTAGCCGATTATGAATGCAATCTTTGAAAAATTTTAAAAATCTCACATAATTATCGATGATTCTGCGTTGAATCATACCAAATACTTGATGGTTGGAGATCTAGATCGTCTAGATCCACTCAATCGGCTACAATATATAAATCTATGTTAGATCTTTTCTATCTAATTGTTGACTAGGACCTAGCGCCGCTATTTTCAAATTTCTTTCCAAGAAAGCTTTGGTTTTTCTTTGAATTTTAAACTTTAACTCCTCAAAATGCTTCTATATAAGAAAACTTTTACAAAAATGGCACAAAAATGACACAAAAGTTTGTTTAGACAGCGCAAAGAGTGCCCGAGACTTCGACGCGTTGTCGAATGGAAGTAGAGGTGAACTTTTACTTAGAAATACAAAATTTACATTCTAGATATAAGCTTTAAATTGTAGAGATACGATTTAATCTTAAAATTTCAGAAGAACACCTTGATTCCCTTTTGAAAGAAACGATCGCCGAGTTGCGGTTGACGAAAGAAGCGAACTCGCACCTCACGAAACAATTTCAGGAATTGGCGGTGAGTTGAATCTCTTTTTCTATAGTATTTTCTTATTTCTGTATCATCCATATAGAAATTTATTGAATACCAAAAAAAGGAGCAAAAAGCAAAAGCATTGGCAACGAGAGGAGTCGAGCCCGCTACCTCTCTTCCGTTCGTTTGAGAGACGTGCGTGTTAACCACTCAGCCATGTCCTGGCGCAGTGCGAGCGCACTTGTCTCTAGCGTACACAACCCGGGTTCCACTCCCGCCGGTGTTTTTTGTGCGGCCGCGTAATCGCTCGTCGTCTGGCGCAGGGCTTTTACATAGCTCCCTTCCCTCTCCCTCTAACAAACTAGCCGGCTCGGAATCCTCAAATTGGACTTTGACTTCTCCTCAAATCAAGGCTAATCTCAATCTATCCGATAGGTGAATTGAAAACTACCGGCTATTGTCATATGTGACAGTTTGAGGGCTTTCTTCAAAAGAAACCCATTTTGGTGTCAATGGAAAAGTTGTAGAGAATCAAAAATCAAGCTTATATCCAAATTTTCAGAACGATTCAAAAACTGGTTTTCAAGAAATGCCAAATTTACGTATTTTCACAAAACTTGCATTTTAAGCGAAACTACTAAGTGGATCTTTTTGGAAATTTGGCTATAAGCCTCATTTTTGATTCTCTACAACTTTTCTATTGACACCAAAATGGGTTTCTTTTGAAGAAAGTGCTCAAACTCTCTATCGGACATCTCCAGTCCTCCATTTTTGAGTCTCACAGGGCGCGGAGAAGTAGTGCGCACAGACAGGCGCAGCTCTTTTATAGAGTAAAGATTAAAGTAAAGATTAAAGTATAGATTAAAGTAGATAAAAACAATTAAACTATTTGCCAATAAATCAATTCGTTTCCAGGAATTTGTCCAAAAGGAGCTGAAATTCTTCGAGAAATCCCAGCAAGAAGATAGGTTCCGTTTTCAAAAATTGGAGGATCAACTGAACGAGACAATTGATTTGCATCAAGCAGAGGTGATCAACTTTGATAGTTTGAAAATTGCTTGTAGGTAATTGCTTGAAAATTGCTAGGTGGTAAGTTCGAAAATTCTCAGGTAATACTAACAAGTACCGCACTCGCTGATGGTTTTATATTAAGCGTTTGCACGGTGAATCGTACTTATGCTCAAGCGTGTACTCTCTGGTACGCTTAATTTCACCTAATCGATACGCTAGCTGATGTGTGTTTTAGATGGAAATTGACACAATTAGATCTTTTTCCATTTGTGGTCGATTGTGGCTTTCTTTTGTTTCGTAACATAAGCTCCCTTGGTTCCCTTGGCTTTCGAAAAAAACAGTAGCTAGATGGTTTTCTCAACATTCAACAATAGCAAATGTTGGCTTTGTGCCTAGCTCTTCTTTAGAGCTTTGTGCTTAGCTCTTCATTAGAGCTATAGAGCTTTGTGATCAGCTCTTCTTTAGAGCTATAAAGCTTTGTGCCTAGCTCTTCTTTAGAGCTAAAGAACTTTGTGATCAGCTCTTCTTTAGCGCTTTAGAGCTTTGTGATCAGCTCTTCTTTAGAGCTTTGTGCCTAGCTCTTCTTTAGAGCTTTAAAGCTTTGTGATTAGCTTTCCTCCATTTTCTTTAGAAACCCTAAAAGTATATTTTATGATCATATTATAAAAATAACAAGGGAAAGCCTGCAAAAAAGCAATTTATAGATCGCTTAGGGTGTTTTGATGGTCTTTTGCTAATCTAAACATCAGTTGGGCAGATCAAAAACTTGTGCGCCGTCGGGACTCGAACCCGCGACCTTTCGCTTACCGGACAACTGTGCTAACATCCCCAACGCACTTGATCTCCTTTACTCCAGAGGGAGTTAACTCATCTAAACATATCTAAACATATCTAAACATATCTAAACATATCTAAACATAAAATCTCCATCTTGAAAAGGAAAAAAAGAAAAATATAGATCAGAAGGCTAGAGAAAAGAAAAGAAAAAGAAAAGAAAAGAAAAATAAAACAAAAAGAAAACAGTGCGTGAATCGATGACACAAAATGAACTTTAATAACTTTAACGTCATGCCCAAATGCCCAATTAAACCTTCTTCAGATTAATGATAATTTCAGGTAAACGTGGTTCGACAAGAGCTCTCGAATATCGCGAATCGTTTGGATTATCAATATAATGATCGCTTCAAGAAAGTCGAGGAAACGATGGAAACGACACAGAATCACATGCAAAGAATGGAGCACACTTTCAAGGAATCGCTGGATTTAAGATTACAGGTAAGTTCGTCGATATAAAGTGTACAGAAGATTTTGTACAGAAGATGTGTACAGAAGATTTTAGTGCCATTTTTAGTGCACAAAACAAAATCCTTTCCAGGGTACCGCTTGGTGGAATGCGATGTTGTTGGGTGGAGCGAACGTGCTTGTCGAGATCCTCAAGCTGCTCCTTTTCCTCATCGCGATCGTTTTGGATTTCTTCAAACCGTTCACAGGGACAAGGTTTGTCATTAAAGATCAGTCATTAAAGATCAGTCATTAAAGATCAATCATTAAAGATCAAGAAAATAAAAGTATAGTCAAAAGAAGTTTAGAATTATCGATTAAACTGAGTACTATGCCTACTTTCGATTTTCATTTTCTAAAAAAAAAAAGAATAAAGCAATCGGCACGTTCCTTTTATTAGAAAAAGAAAAAGAGAGAAAAAAGAAAAAGAAAAAGAAAATCAGCACGTTTTACACATTTTTTTTTTTGAACAACTACAAAAAGAAACATTTTGGAGTCTGTTCTGGAAGCTCTGAAAAGTTTGTAAGCCAAAAATGCCAGAAATCAGCACTTCTTTCAGTACTTTCTTCCACAAAAACCTTTTTAAAGTCAAAAGAGAAGAAGAATAGAGAAGAATAAGAAGAATAGAGAAGAAAAAGTTAGGAATAGACTCAAATTTTCAGCTTAATCCCCCTTCATTCTTTTTCTCTGTAGGCCTACGAAAAGGTTTTCGAGAAAAACGAGATTTTATGATCAGTTTCTAATAGAAAAAAAAGCTCTAAATAGCCGAAATCAAAGCCTAAAGCTCTAAATAGCCTAAAGAATAGCCTAGATCGAATGCAAAAATCTTTCTGATAAACGAAATGTTGGCCAATTGTTTAATTCTCTTTCTTCGAAAACGAAAATCGAAAGTAGACCCTCAAGACAACCCAAGACGAAAGTAGAACCTCAAGGCTCAAGACAAGACAAGACAAAACTCAGCCTAAGCCAGGCTAGATCAGGATCCGATTTTTTGATAATAGTTACAGTAGCGGACAGAACAGCTGAACAGAACTGCTGAACAGCTGAACAGAACTGCTGAACAGCTGAACAGAACTGCTGAACAGCTGAACAGAACTGCTGAACAGCTGAACAGAACTGCTGAACAGCTCAACAGAACGCGACACAAGAAGCGAACAGAAGAAGGAAGGACGGGAAGCCAACGAGCTAGCCAAAGCAGCTCAAAACTGGCTGCTGCAGAACTGCTGAACAGCTCAACAGAACAAAAATAGACAGAACTGCTGAACTTTTTGAAAACTATTATTTTTAATGCATTTATCTATAAACCTAGAGGACATAATTTTGGAAACTTTTAAAAACAACTCTAAATAATGACGTAAAAAAACCATTAAATTTCTAAATTTAAAAAAGAACAAATAAATCAATTCAATACTTTGTGGAAGATCTTTGTGGAAGCCTAAGCCTTTAGAATCAATCAATCAAGCCTGGCACCGAGCGCTCATCGAAGCGATCAAGTTGTCGATGGTTGTTGTTTGAATTTCCATCCATTTCTTAGCCAAAAGCTCGAATTTTTCATTAAGATTATGGCTCTTAACGCCTGACAGGCTCTCTCCAGAACTTCCTATAGATGTTTCCAAAATTATGTCCGCTACTGTAACTCATGACTCAAATGATCTTTAACTGATTGACAGGAAAAGAGTGCTGACCCAGAAATGCCGAATATCTACTGATCTTTAGACAGATCTACTAATAGATATGTCAAATAAGCTTCAGAGCTTCAGAACTTCGAATATTCAGCTAGTGAGTATAAATGCCTTGATTTTCTAGAACCCGTACCGGTCTTCTCATCACAATCATCATCGCCTCAATCATTCTCATTCAAAACGTCGATTTCCTCGGTTTCTTCATTCCGTCTCGAAGAAAATCCCATCAATTAGCTGCCACTAAACCAAATTCAGAGTTATGACAGTAAAAAACTGATCCTTGTGTCTCTGTTAGTATAGCTAGAATTTTCAATTTTTCTTTTTAAAGCTCTTCTTGGGGTAGGCTAGTTTCCGCGACTTTTTTTGAGCAACTGAGTCATTTGCGCAACTATAACTTCTTTCTAAGTAGGCCAATCTTTATGGTTTTGGTTTCATTTTGTAGATCTTAATAAGTGCAACAAAATGGGATCAACATCATAAAGATTGGCTGACTTAGAAATAAGTTATGTTGAGTTCAACCCACAGTAATCCGGCGGTGGCTACTTTGCGCTAAAGCAACTGGCTCTGCGCCATAACTTTCTCCTACATAAGCCAATCTTTATGGTTTTGGTTTCATTTTGTTGCACTTATTGAGATCTACAAAATGAAACCAAAATCATAAAGATTCGCCCACTTAGAAGAAAGTTATGGCGAGTCGCGCTAACGACCCAGTTGCGCAAATGACTCAAATCAAATGACAAAAGACTCTTTAGCACAAATGACCCAGTGGCGTATGACCCAGTTGCGCATGATCCAGTGGCGCATGACCCAGTTGTGCAAATGATCCAGTCGCGCATGATCCAGTTGCGCATGATCCAGTGGCGCATGATCCAGTTGCGCATGATCCAGTGGCGCATGATCCAGTTGCACATGACGCACTGGCGCATGACCCAGTGGCGCATGATCCAGTGGCGCATGACCCAGTTGCGCATGACCCACTGGCGCATGACCCAGTGGCGCAAATAACCCAGTTGTGCAAATGATCCAGTCGCGCATGATCCAGTGGCGCATGACGCAGTCGAAAACTAGCCGAAAAAGAGTTGCGGAAACTAGCCTGCTCTCTCTTCTTTTCAATTTTCTTTCAAATTCTTCTTTCTTTAAGCCAAAATGACCAATTTCACTAGTCAGTGTCTTGGAAAAAAAAAAGTTACTATGTTAAATGTGTTAAAGTGAAATTAATTCATTTAAATAAATTGTGGATGTATTTTATAGTGTAGCCTAAAAGCACAATCTCTGACCTAGAAATGATAGCAGTTAGCTGACGTTTACAACCCGTTTTCTTATATGCAAAATCGAATTTTTCGATTTTTCCACATTCCCTAAACCGTCTCGAGATTTTTCTTCTTCGAAATTGAGCTTTTTGAGAAATTTGAGCATAGTGTCTTTGTTTGTTTTTGCTGAATTTTCATTTTCTTTTTATTTTAATCTCTTTCCAGTTCTGATTACAGGGTTCTTAATCATTGATTACTCTTCGTTTTTTGTCAAAATTCCTTTACTCATACTGAGCACTGTCATTTTGTGTATTTTGTACACTTGTTTGTGTATTTTTGTCTAAAATGGCTTAGGGTTACTGTAACCAGTACGCTTTATTTGAAATTATTGAGGAAAGTTTTTACAAATAACAATTTACAAATAAACAATAAATTTAATTTCTTGATTGTTTCAGTGGAAAGTGCAAAAGATCTAGAGAAAAAAAGAAAGAATCGTAAAAAGAAAATCCTAATTTGTGATTAACACAATACAAAGAAAAACATCAAAATAAAGTCACGGGAAAGTTCGATATTTGGTTGGTTGGTTCGTTCGTTGCCTCGTAAACGGACGTTGCCTAAACGGACGCCCAAACGGAGCCCGTAAAGACGTTGCCTCGTAAACGGACGTTGCCTCGTAAACGGACGTTGCCTCGTAAACGGACGTTGCCTCGTAAACGGACGTTGCCTCGTAAACGGACGTTGCCTCGTAAACGGACGTTGCCTCGTAAACGGACGTTGCTTCGTAAACGGACGTTGCCTCGTAAACGGACGTTGCCTCGTAAACGGACGTTGCCTCGTAAACGGACGTTGCCTCGTAAACGGACGTTGCCTCGTAAACGGACGTTGCCTCGTAAACGGACGTTGCCTCGTAAACGGACGTTGCCTCGTAAACGGACGTTGCCTCGTAAACGGACGTTGCCTCGTAAACGGACGTTGCCTCGTAAACGGACGTTGCCTCGTAAACGGACGTTGCCTCGTAAACGGACGTTGCCTCGTAAACGGACGTTGCCTCGTAAACGGACGTTGCCTCGTAAACGGACGTTGCCTCGTAAACGGACGTTGCCTCGTAAACGGACGTTGCTTCGTAAACGGACGTTGCCTCGTAAACGGACGTTGCCTCGTAAACGGACGTTGCTTCGTAAACGGACGTTGCCTCGTAAACGGACGTTGCCTCGTAAACGGACGTTGCCTCGTAAACGGACGTTGCCTCGTAAACGGACGTTGCCTCGTAAACGGACGTTGCCTCGTAAACGGACGTTGCCTCGTAAACGGACGTTGCCTCGTAAACGGACGTTGCTTCGTAAACGGACGTTGCTTCGTAAACGGACGTTGCTTCGTAAACGGACGTTGCTTCGTAAACGGACGTTGCTTCGTAAACGGACGTTGCTTCGTAAACGGACGTTGCTTCGTAAACGGACGTTGCTTCGTAAACGGACGTTGCTTCGTAAACGGACGTTGCTTCGTAAACGGACGTTGCTTCGTAAACGGACGTTGCTTCGTAAACGGACGTTGCTTCGTAAACGGACGTTGCTTCGTAAACGGACGTTGCTTCGTAAACGGACGTTGCTTCGTAAACGGACGTTGCTTCGTAAACGGACGTTGCTTCGTAAACGGACGTTGCTTCGTAAACGGACGTTGCTTCGTAAACGGACGTTGCTTCGTAAACGGACGTTGCTTCGTAAACGGACGTTGCTTCGTAAACGGACGTTGCTTCGTAAATCTCTACAAATTTGGTTCCTTTTCTCTACAAATTTGGTCCTCTTTTCTCTTTTGGTTCCTTGCGAGACAACGATGCGATTCGGCAGCAGACTTTCCAATTTTGAAGTTAAACAGTAATGCTGCTCGTAGCACAAACTTTTCCTCGACCATGATCCTAAATAAAAAATAAAATAAACAACAACCAAAAAATTGAAATGTCGAAATAAATAGCAAACAAATATGCGAACAAAACATAAAAAAAGAATGCAGTTAGCATCGCTCGTTTCTGATAAATGAGAGCTGCATCGCTCGTTTCTGATAAATGAGAGCTGCATCGCTCGTTTCTGATAAATTTCTAATAAATGAGACCCATCGGCAGTTTCTTTTGCACCACCCTAATACTTTCAATAGTTTTTTGTTTAGCCACTTATAAAGGAGATTATGAATTGAATTTTTAAGAACGATTTATCTCTTTTCACTCTGTATTCTAGAAAACAATGCAAATTGCATAAAGGTAATAATGTTTAGCATGAGTTATGAGCTTTAATGTTCATTTAAGTGTGTGTAGAAAGACAGCATTACTTTGTGTAGAAAGACAGCAAGAAAGACAACTGTTTGTGTAGAAAGACAGCATTACTGTAAGCAGTTGCTTTATTTAAAATTCGAGAGAAGTAAACATCTTTTCTTTGATAGACACAGCGATCTTTGATAGACGCAGAGATTATTTGGTCATCTAAAAAGTACAAATAATATCTAGGACTCAGTTTCTTTTCTTCAACTCACATAGAAATACGAGCCAGCTTCGGGTGTGCCCAACAATTTCCCTGTTGGAGTAGTAAGAAAATTCTGTGAATGATGTGTAATTTGCGTGAAGATCCTGGAAATCATTCTGTGTTTTACTGGAATCAAACTAATATAGATCTTATGCTTGGTTTACAACTAATAACTCTGTCGTTGCCCGTCTCCTTACTCTAATTTGCTTTGCTCTAATTGCTCTAAGCAAATTGCTCTAATTTAGTTTCGATTTAGAGTATAGGATCTAGCACAGAAACGCCCCATTAAAATTCTAAAGGGATTCAGTTTTACTTCATAGCTTTTTGTTGTGTTCATAGCTTCATAGCATAGCCAGTTTTTGAGAAAAATCCTTTGGGATCCTTTAGGAAAAATCCTTCAAATTTAGGCACTTTTAGTGATTTAACGAAAAAGCAGAAAGTTTTTGAGAGCGGGATTCGAACCAGGGACAACCGGGAGCCAGTGCCAAGCGACGGGCCAGCACACTATCCACATCATTCTGTGTTTTACTGGAATCAAACTAGTATAGATCTTTCTAGTATAGAACTAGTACTCCAGTCACTGTTTGGGTGAAGGTAGTTCGGCCCCATACGCCGGCGTTGTTCCATTTGGAAAAACGGCGCCGCCGCTGTATGATGCTGAATTACCATTAAGAGTGACTGAATGGTGTAGCGGATAGTGTGCTCGACCCTCGTACGCCCCTCTCTTCTGACTATGCCTGGTGTTCGACCCTCGTACGCCCCTCACTCCTGGCTGTGCCTGGTTCGAATCCCATCACTGTCAAAACCTTTTTCTTCTTCGTTAAAGTCCTAAAATCCATTTTGAAGTGTTTTAAAGTGTCTATAAAGAGTAAGAAGCAAAATCGGGCTTCTGGAAGTGGCTTAAAAAGACTTTCAGTGAAGAATATCGACTTCAGAATCAAAAAACCCGTTTAACTGGTTTTAAAAACTGGTTAACTAGCTAGGAATTGTTATTTTTGTGAAAGATCTCTTTTCGGTCAAAAGGGAAGCACTCTACATCGGACGGGTTTGCCAGATCGCGAGCGGTTACGCTCGCCGGGATGACGACTATTAGGGGAAATACGGTAATTTATATGGAAGAACATTTCGCCATTTACACAATGGTTTTTCTTTTGCTTTTTAGATGATACGGCTATTACCGTATTCCCTCTAATAGTAGTGCACCCTGAGCGTCGCCTAAATTGCTCGAAATCTCGAGAACCGCTTATCAGAACCTATCGATGTGGGGTCGGAAAATGTAGCTGACGATGAGATCTTGTGGGGGATTTGAGTGTTGAGCTTCTGCGAAAGCTTGGGAACTGTAAAATAGTCGCCAACTCGGCTCGGCCGGACGGAGGGGGAGAGGGCATTACAATTAGAGAAAATACAGAAAATTATATTACTCCCGATAAATTGGTTTTAGTGAGAATCGGTTCTAATTCTCCTCTTTTAAGGCGTCTACTAGAATCAGCATTTCTCCCTGTTCCTTGCCTCACCTGCCATGTTTGTGGATGTCTCCTCGTCAGCCGTTGTTTTGTTTTAAAAACGAGCACAATGTAGAGTTTTCTCGCTGGAAAATGAAGATCATAAAAGTGGTGAAAAAAAACAAAACAAACTCTGCTTCGTTGACACCTTGTCGTTGGTGATTGTCATCACGCGGTTGATGCTTCTAAAAAAGAAAACTCAAATGCAATACTTAGCCTCTTAAACCTAAAGAATACTCCCTCATCCCATGGGGCCACTGATAAATCGACATCACGGCTCAACGTTGACTGACGATTGTAGTAGAAATTCATCGATTCCGGATTTCCGTGTGGATCTGAAAAGGTCCACTATGTGACTATTTGCTGTACACTTCTTTACCAAAGAGTATTTGTGGCTGAATATTTTTCTACATTCGCTCACTAACGTTCGCGTTTCCCACTGAGGAGTTCCACGTTTTTCACGCAATCTAAGCCCTGCCCCTTTTTGCCAAACGACAGCGCACAGGCTGCGCACAGACGGCGCACAGGCTGCGCACAGACGACGCACAGACGGCGCACAGACGGCGCACAGACGGACAGACGTCTCTTCTGCTTTATATATATATAGTAGATTAGTCGAAAAACCTGCCTAACAGCCGGTTGCGAAACAATTGCAGGGATTGGCGGTGAGTTGAATCTTTTAGCTGGATGTTTTGGGGGCGACCAAGCTATGACCGTGGTGCAGTATTTCTACGGAAACGGGTATTTCTACAGACTACACGGGCCGGGTTCGACCCCCCGTACTGCCAATCAGCTTTCAATTTCTGATTTTTTCATTTGAAATGAGATAGCTATATGATATTTTAAGACCTTTTAAAAAATCTAGCATCAGGTGGCTGAGAAAAAGCCTGTAAAGACGGACAGACGGATGGACAGACAGACGGATGGACAGACGGATGGACAGGCAGACAGACTCTGCTCTTTTATATATAGTAGACAATAAAACAATGTCTAGTGTTTCTATTGAGTTCTACTTTGAGCACACAATACCCGCAAAAACTGTGTATTTACTTACTGTAAAGCAACAAGACGTGATGAAAGTATCCCGGAAATTGGTCTCTCAGTAATGAAATCTGAAATGTTTGAAGATTTATTCAAAGATTTCCCTACAATTCAAAGATTTCCCTACTTTCTTCAGTGTGACCGGCTCTCTGAAACGATAGTTGAGCATTGAGAAATGGTCACCCGTTCGAATCTCAGGTAATGGAGATGATGTTGGACTTTTCACATATTCATTCAGAGTAATCTAAAGTTTTGATCAGTGTTTAAGCCCAATACAATGCAATAATGTAAAGGAATGAACGGCAAAGAATTTGGAAGCTGGGAATTGAACCCTCGGCCTTCTACTTACTAGGTTGATGCTCTACCACTGAGCTATTGGCTACTGAGCTACTGAGCTATTGGCCCCTTCTTTGCTCAAGAAGAAATAGGAAGACAAGGGAGAAGAAAGGAAGAAAGGAAGAAAGAAAGAAAGAAAGGAAGAAAGAAAGGAAATACCCGAAGCTTCAATGCACATTAAATTTAGGAATCTTACTAGTACTAAAGTTTTTTTAGACAACTCAAGAAGTTCCCAATATTTCACAACAACTTTCAAGTGTTTATGTGAAATTTTTTTACTAAAAACTCTATCCTTTCTGGAGTCTCATACAAACGCATAACATCCTAGCATATTAAATCGATCAGTGCACCAGATAATATGTGTTTTTAAAGCCATTTTTCAGCAGAAAAACACACACACACACACACAAACACTACCATCTGGCAAACAAGATTTGATAAGTTTTTCGTTTTTCTAGATTTCTAGTTTCTCTAGACTTTTAAATTCTTTATTGAGAATTCTAAAGTTAAAATATTTATCTGATTCATTTATTTTTCCAGCAGATTGCCAGCAACTTTTTTTGAACTCACAAAATCGATCCCAGCTCCTGGCGCATTCGGGATCAACGACGGAGACAAAGAAGTTACATAAAAGACAGGCATCGAGAAATTTGACGACAACTTGTTGATCCCAACTTTTGTCTCATAGAAAACTAAAGGTTTTTTTGAATACACTATTCAAATATATATGTTACGTTCAATCTAGAAATCCGTCTGATCTAGACTGATTCTAGATCGGATGTCTGATCAAGACTGATTCTAGATCGGATGTCTGATCAAGACTGATTCTAGATCGGATGTCTGATCAAGACTGATTCTAGATCGGATGTCTGATTGAGAGTGATTCTAGGTCGGTCGTCTGATCAAGACTGATTCTAGATCGGACGTCTGATCGAGATTGATTCTAGATCAGACGTTTGATCAAGACTGATTCTAGATCGGACGTCTGATCAAGAGTGATTCTAGATCGGACGTCTGATTGAGATTGATTCTAGATCAGACGTCTGATCAAGACTGATTCTAGATCGGACGCCTGATCAACACTGATTCTAGATCAGACGTCTGATCAAGACTGATTCTAGATCGGATGTCTGATCCAGACTGATTCTAGGTCGGACGTCTGATCGAGATTGATTCTAGATCAGACGTTTGATCAACACTGATTCTAGATCGGATGTCTGATCTAGACTGATTCTAGATCGGACGTCTGCTCGAGAGTGAGGTGAAACGTCTGATCTAGAATCTAGCCGATCCACTCTAAATCTAAGTCTAGATTGGATTCCTGATTTAGAGTGATCGGTTTGATTCTAGACGTTTGACCTCACTTCACTCTCGATCGGACATTCGATCTTCAATCAAATTTCAATCTAGACTAGAATCAGTCTAGATTGAACGTAACCTAGATTTTACCAACCATTCTCAAACGAATCTAAAGCCGTTGTTTTGCAGCAAAGATGCATATTGTAAGTGGAAAGCATCTGAACTTTTTTTTTGATCCTGAAAAAGCTTTTCCCATTACTTGACTATTGACAGCTTGTTCACATGTGTACTCGTCTGGACATGATTTTTCTTCGGTTGGATCACAGAGAAGAACGGACGGGATATCATAGGAAGTGGCACCATAAGGACAAACTAAAAATGGAAAAAAACATCTATCGACAATTGAAAGCGTTTTCTAAAAGGCGCTAAAACTACCGTAATCTTCCAGGTTCCTAGCGCGCAGTTTGGTTGCAGTAATTTCCCAACTCTAACTCTCATACTGATTTGACTCACTTGGTTTCACTTGTTCAGGCACTCCCGGCGGACTACTCAAATCCTGAGGCACATCCGAGCAACAACGATAATCGTCAGTCATCTAAAAAACAGAATGATCGATTTCAATTCAATCACAGAAATTTCACCTTTGAAAAAACACAAACAGGATTCCTTCCAGTGCATTCAATTGGATCGTGTGGAGTACATTTGACTCCCTCATGTTCGAATTCTCGACACTGAGCAAATGTGGCCAAGATGTTTTGCTCGTGGCTTTGCCAAGGGAAGGGGCAAACTGGAAATGGATGAGATAAGAAGAAATGGATAAGATTGAAATGGATAAGACTGGAGTGATCTAGATATCGAAAAAATGATACAATCATTAAGTAGTGATATAAGTAGTGATATAAGTAGAATACAATAATTAAGTAGTCAGGTCAGAGATGGATCAATGCCAGTTCAGAGTCAGGTAAAAGTCAGGTAAAAGCAGCGCCAAGATGTATTAGCTCGATGATCGAAACTACCAACAAAACCCTTGCTTTGATTCAAGCCCCTAAAAGTTGGATAAAGCTATTGTATTCCTCGTAAGTGTTATGAGATATCTTGTAGAGCTCAATGAGAGCTTTCAGATGCTATATAGCACCTGTAAATGCAATGTCTACATCTAAAGTTACAATCCCTCAAAACAGCATCACTTTTTCGAAGGGGATTCAATTTTGACCGGCACTGTAAACTCAGGTTACGGTAAAATAGGTTACTTAGTACTTAGGTTACTGTAAAATTGATTAATTAGCCTAGGGTTACGGTAGTCAGCTCATGTTATAATTGTGGCTGATCTAGCAATATTTGAATAGAGTTCTGAAGTAAAAGAGCCGGTAAGAAAAGCTCTGGACCAGCTTTGACCCAGCTTTGGTCCTAGCTTTGGCTCAGCTTTGGCTCAGCTTTGGCTCAGCTTTAGCCTAGCTTTGGCTTAGCTTTGGCCTAGCTTTGGCTCAGCTTTGGCTCAGCTTTGGCCTAGCTTTAGGTCAGCTTTGGCCTAGCTTTGGTCTAGCTTTGGTCCAGCTTTGGCCTAGCTTTGGTCTAGCTTTGACCCAGCTTTGGCCCAGTTTTGGTCTAGCTTTGGTCTAGCTTTGACCCAGCTTTGGCTCAGCTTTGGTCCAGCTTTGGCTCAGCTTTGGCCTAGCTTTGACCCAGCTCTGGCCCAGCTTTGGCTCAGCTTTGGTCCAGCTTTGACCCAGCTTTGACCCAGCTTTGGTCCAGCTTTGACCCAGCTTTGACCCAGCTTTGGCTCAGCTTTGGTCCAGCTTTCGCTCAGCTTTAGCCTAGCTTTGGCCTAGCTTTGGCTCGGCTTTAGCCTAGCTTTGACCCAGCGTTAGCCTAACTTTGAGAAAAAATTTTGTATTTCTAAATAGAATTCGGAAAACTGAACTTACTATCTTCGAATTCACTCTTTTCTTCTTCTTCAATCACATCAATTTCAGGTGCAGGTGTCTCTTTTTTCACATCTTTATCAATCTTCGGTTTCTTTTTCGAGAATCTTTTCTCATAAGTTGAATGAAATAATAAAGAAAATAGCAATAGCAATAGCCAAGTGTTCATAAAAACTTATTCAAATTTTTATGAATCCGAGAAATCGATCGGGAAATGAAATCCTTGGTGACAAAGCCTCGAAGAAATCAAGAGATTCGACCAAATCGGGACAAAAAGCAAAAGATTTAACAAAAGCTTTGTTGTTGAATTTGGAAAGTGCCCGAGGGCTGAGAAAACGTTGTATTGACTCTCGATTGGTCACGATCATTCTCTTTTCAGATTTCTTTCTTTGCGTCTGGGAACTAGCCAAACTTGGACGGTTCCGGGAAGGGAAAAGCCTTTTTCACACCAATCTCTTTCCCAAAAAACTTCGATCAGGAACAAGATCGGTTTCCTTCTTTGTTTGTTCTTGAATCCATTTGAATGATCGACTTTTGAGTCTTTATGAAAGCTGTTTAAACCTTTATGAAAGCTAATAGTAAACCCTGTTTTTATTCTTTTCAATTTTGTTCTTTTCAATTTTGTTATTCTTACAATTCTTTTAGTTTTTGATCAAAGCAAAACCAAGTTCTCTTATGTCTTTTCAATCTTTTAAATCTATTGAATAATATCTATTGAATAATATCTATTGAATAATATCTATTGAATAATATCTATTGAATAATATCTATTGGATAATATCTATTAGATTTATGGGTATGACTTGGCACGTTTTTTCAAAGATGACTCTTTCTAAAGAGTCATCTTTCTTTGAGATCTTTGAGAAATAATAAATAAACCGTTCGGTCCAGCAGTTGAAATCTAAAATTTGTGAATGAAATAACCCCTAACAAAGTCAATAAATTCATCAACTTACTGTGATTGATTAAAGAAAGTTTGTTTGGAAAATGCTGCATTTGTCGATGCTGCATTTGTCGCATTGAAGCTTTTGAGAACTCTAAAATAATATTTGTAATATTAGCATATTTTAAAATATACATTTTTCCATTGATACATCTTCTAGCAAGGCAGTCATGGTTGAAGCCACTTCAGCTTCAGTTGAAGTCACTTCAGCTTCAGTTGAAGCCACTTCAGCTTCAGTTGAAGTCACTTCAGCTTCAGTTGAAGCCACGCTTTGATTTCACAGGTTAGTAGTCCATCGGCAACAACAAAAGACTCTTCAACTTCATCAGTGGGTGGAATTTCATTGAAAGAGCTTGATGATGGCGATGGTTGACAAAAGAAGGGAAAAGCTCGATCAGCAGTCCAGCATTCCAGCTGAGCATTCCAGCATTCCAGCATTCCCACAAGTTGCTCGAAATTTTTCAAACCAACAATAGCCTTTCTTCGAAATAGCAAAAGAATAATCAATTGTTCATAAAATAATACTCAAAGATTTGCATAAACTTTGGTTTAATTCAAATTAGATTGGATTGGATTGGATTGGATTCCAAATGGCTTAACATACACCCAGAAAGGTCAACGCATTTGAATCAGCGCATCTTTTTCGATGCAAGTGCAGGACTTTTTTATTCCGTATTGTGACAAAGAATGAAAATTGTTTCTAACTGTCAACTTTTGATGAAAGAGAGCTGAGATTGCTGACAGAAAAAGCCCAGGCGTCAAGCCAAATGTGCATGAGAAATTTATGCTCTTGGATGATCATTCTTGGATGATCATTCTTGGATGATCATTCTTGGATGATCATTCTTGGATGATCATTCTTGGATGATCGTTCTTGGATGATCGTTCTTGGATGATCGTTCTTGGATGATCGTTCTTGGATGATCGTTCTTGGATGATCGTTCTTGGATGATCGTTCTTGGATGATCGTTCTTGGATGATCGTTCTTGGATGATCGTTCTTGGATGATCGTTCTTGGATGATCGTTCTTGGATGATCAATGATCGTTCCAATCATCCCAAAAACGATCATTCCAAAATTTCTAGGAAATAGAATCCCTTGTAAAGAGAAAAATCCATTCACTTGTACGGAGAGGAATCCATTCTTGGTGTTCTGGGATTTGGAAGAGGAACTGTAAATAATGGAACTATCTACTGGGGAACTTTTAGATCACAAGACAACACTTAGCTAAATCAAATACCCCGAGCAACTTGACAAGTTAGCCAAATCTTTGCTAGAGAAAAGACTTGACTCGTTTTGCCCTAAACTCACTTGTATGGGTGGTGTAAACAGCCCTTGTATGGGTGGTGACCCATCCAGTATACAGCCCTGATCTTGCACTTTCTGATTACTAGTTATGAGTGATGAGCAATGATTTCGCGAACAAATACTTTGACTTCGAAGACGAGGTCAAGAAATGGCTGAGAGATTGGTTTGAATCAAAGCTTGAGTTGGTTTGAATCAAAGCTGGAGTTGGTTTGAATCAAAGCTTGAATTGGTTTGAATCAAAGCTTGAATTGGTTTGAATCAAAGCTTGAATTGGTTTGAATCAAAGCTGGAGTTGGTTTGAATCAAAGCTTGAATTGGTTTGAATCAAAGCCAAAGATTTTTAAACGATAGAGGCATTCGACTTTTACCAGTAAAATAGGCAAAAATCATATAAAATAATGGCAAATATCTCGCATGATTTGAAGTTGTTGATTGAAGAAAAATTTGATTTCAAATTGATTGATTGATTGATTGATTGATTGATTGACAGAAAATTGATTTCAAAAAAGGTGCCATGTCATATCCATCAACCCAAGGTATAAGTATTTATATCCAGAATTTTGTTCGTACAGTTCGTACTAACAGTTCGTACTAACAGTTCGTACATAGCGCTCTATTTTAGCTTTAGCTTTCTATCTAAAGCTTTAGATCTTAACTTGACACTTGGGCTTTACTTTTCGCCATAGAGGCTTTACTTTTCGCCATAGAGGCTTTACTTTCTTCCATAGAGGCTTTACTTTTCTCCAATTCTTTTATTATCCATCAACCTATGCTTTGAAAGTTGAAATCTTGCACTTTCTGATTACTACTTATGAGTGAAAGAACTGAACTAGTTAACTGAAAGAACTGAACTAGTTAAAACTGCAACTCTCTAGTTGTCTACGTCTGCTATTTTCAATTCTGATATCATAAAAGAAGCATAAAAGATCTGTGGAATCATTTTTGCAGAAATGATAATCAGGATAACGAAAATTTTCACCATTTTTCTACCGTTTCTATTTGCTCAACAAATGCCTCAAGGCCCGCCACCACAAAATAAACCAGGTATTAGTTAACTGAAAGAATTAAACTAGTTAACTGAAAGAACTAGTTAACTGAAAGAACTGAACTAGTTAACTGAAAGAACTAGTTAACTGAAAGAACTAAACTAGTTAAATGAAAGAACTGAACTAGTTAACTGAAAGAACTAGTTAACTGAAAGAACTAAACTACCGTATTTACTCTATTAGTGGGGTCCCCCACTATTTTTTCAATCCCCTTCCAGACGACCCCACTATTAGAGAAATTTAAAAGAACATAAAACCAAAGTTTTAAGTTGAAAAGATATCAATTTTTCTCCGAAATTCTTGAAAAAACAAGTTTGGCTTCATATTTTATTTAGCTTTAACCGTAACAAAACATTAACAAACAGTAAAAGAACTAATCCAAGAGATCAACAATTGATGTATCACTTTCGTTACCAATATTAGAGAGGACCCCACTATTTTTTCAACCCCCCTCCAGACGACCCCACTATTAGAGAGGACCCCACTATTAGAGAGGACCCCACTAATAGAGTAAATACGGTAGTTTAATGAAAGAACTGAACTAGTTAACTAAAAGAACTGACCTAGTTAACTAAAAGAACTAAACTAGTTAACTAGCCTAATATAAATGTGATTTATTGAATGCATTTCTGAGAATCCTAACAACTTCTAAGCATGAAAACTCTACTGTTTAATCAGCTCAATCAGCTCAATCAGCTCAATCAGCTCTTGCTTTAAGATTGCTCACAACCATGGCAATCTCGAGAGTTAACTTACGTCCCAGCGCTAGCCCAGTGTTCATCCTATGAGGAAGGTTGGTGATCTGTTCAATTGTATTGATCAATGATTGTTTAAATCATCCCAATCATCATTCCAAAAACGATCATCCCAAAAACGATCATTCCAAAACCAAAATCCAATCATTCTAGGAAATGGAATCCCTTGTACAGAGAAAAATCCATTCACTTGTACTGGGAGGAATCCATTCTGCGCCTCGATTGGAAACAAAGAGTTCAAATGTTGCAGTGATATCATTCAGGACTCGTCAGAGCTCGAGAATTTGAAAGCAGAAGAGATAAAGCCGAGTAGATTCATGCAAATTGGTCCTTCATCTTCGTTTTAGTTTGTCCAAATGGTGCAATCCCTTACCGTATCCCGCATGCGATGCTCTGTGATCCGGCTATTGTCAACATTTGTCCACCAAATTATAAATGTGTTGAAGCAGCGAATGGACATCTTTTACCGCATGATGGACGATCTTTGTGCTGCAAGACGAGCACTTTGTACAGCTTTGCTTCAGGTGAGGAGAAATTGAAAACTGAAAGAAATTTGAAGCGTTTTCTAGGCAGCTTATTTTAAAGGTGAATGATAAGTAATGAGTTTTTTCAAAACTATTTTTCTCAGGCAAGAGATATCAGACAAGATATCTCTTGCCAGAAGACAGGATAGGGCAGAAGACAGGATAGGGCAGAAGACAGGATAGGCCAGAAGACAGGATAGGTCAGAAGACAGGATAGGCTAGAAGACAGGATAGGCCAGAAGACAGGATAGGCCAGAAGACAGGTTCTGACCTGGCTTCACTGCAGATCTGGCTCACAAAGTTCCTGGGTCTGCCAGAAGCCAGGTCTAACAATAAACCTGGGTTCTTGCTTGGTTTAGACCTGCCTGATTCACAAGTCTTTAGGCTTGCCAGAATAGTTCAAAGTATACATGGGCCACTTGTTAGGGAGTATGAAATGGCGCTGATTTTCAAAGAAACTTCTTTAACATCGAGTAGTCTTTATCAAATGACACGAATATTAGAAAGCTATATTGGAACCATATCGGAACCAGATTGAAACCATATTGGAACCATATTGGAACCATATTGGAACTTTATTCTTGGAAGGAAAATATTGGAACCATATTGGAACCATATTGGAACCAGATTTGAATCCATATTGGAACCATATTGGAATCCATATTGAAACCATATTGGAACCATATTGGAATCCATATTAGAAAGCTCACTTATTTCTCTCCAAAATCATATTTGTAATAGTCCCAATTCAATAAAAGATAATTTTTTTAGAAATCATTATTCAGAGAAAATGATTGACAAGATCACTCGGTCGCGACTTAGCATACAAGTTTTTGGGTCTCTTGGGGTCTCTTGGGACCTCTTGAGACGGGTTTGACTTTATCGGAAACAATAAAACTTTAAAGAACAAAGAATGTCTCATTGAAAGGACTCGAACGGGTCCAAAAGGACATACGCACCAGACTCGATTCGCCGGGTTCCATTGACTGATGCAAGCAAATGCGTTCTCTACAACCACTACACCACCGATGCCGTTGCCTGAAGACAGTGCTCATAAAGAAACCCCAAAAACTTGTGTACCATAAATCTCGCGATAGAGAAGCGTTTGGCAAAAACTGATTGCAGATTCGGAATCAGAGAGAAAAACTACATCAGATAGGCTATTTCCCGAGTAGGCCACGATAAGTTAACAACATTTCCTAGTAAGAATCAATTCAAAAGTTGTTGTCTAAACCAAAAACCCCGTTTTAGTTTTCGCTGAAGCCCAACTGACTCCCCGTATCGTGCCAGCACCTCCCGTATCCTCCATTGAATATGTAAGCTTAACTATAGCTATAAAAGCTATACCATTGTGTATAGCCATATCGTTAAAATGATTTTTAAATGTTAAAATGATTTTTCAATTCGAAAATCAAAATCCAACGATCTCAGGTGACATTAAACGTTCATACGTCGGCCACAATGCAAGCACCGGAGATCCGAACCGGCGACCATTTCGTTCTCGCTCCGCACAAACTTTTGGAACCAGCTTACATCAAAAATGTCAAACTTTTCTCAGAGCTTCCAATTGGAAGTTTTATGCATGTGATCATGTTTGGTAAGATTTCGTAATTCTTACTAATCAATCCGTTCTAATCAATCCGTTCTTTACAGATCCAGTCAGCGTCACAGAAACACTTCAATTCTATTATGATCGGCCATCGAAAGGAGGTAGGGTTACTGGAAAAGCTTTGTCAAACTTCTGTATCGGCATTTTTGGGTGTACAGACGCGTAGTCTATTTAGTAGTTACTGTTAGTTAACTGTTTTACTGGTAACTTAGTGAAAATTGGAAGATAAACATCTATTATAATCTTTGAACTTTCTTCTTTGAACATCTATTATAATCATTCGATAGCTCTGAATCTCTTCTTGAATACTAGGACAAAGAACTTACTAAGAACTTTTCGGAAGATAAAGAACAAAATGTTTTTAAAAGCTTAAGTTGAAGCCAAAAAAGCCAAAAAAGCCAAAAATAACCGTTATTAGTAAGGTTTATCGTTTTAAATAAGCAATGAATGCTTTAAATAAGTAATGAATGCTTTAAATAAGTAATGAATGCTTTAAATAAGTAATGAATGCTTTAGATAAGCAATGATGGCTTTAAAGAAGCAAAGAAAGCTTTAGATAAGCAATGAATGCTTTAAATAAGCAATGAATGCTTTAAAGAAGCAAAGAATGCTTTAGATAAGCAATAAACCAATTTCAGGCAAAATCTTGGACCTTGAAGAGCCTGTGGATGATGGGGGATTCATCTCGAAGAAAATCTACAACGCTCATCCGGTCACCAATATGGATGAACAACAGAAAAGGCCAGCTAATCATTGTAAGTGATAGCGATTTTAATAGCTAACAATTCGAATGGCTAACAACAATGGCTAACAAGGCTAGAAATTCAACAATCTAACTTCTAGATCGTAAAATGTGGGTTGTTTTGATGTTCCGAACGGTGAACCCGATCACTCGACTCTATGTATCGGTGACGATGGATTTGCATGGAAAATATCGATCGGTTAGGTGAGAAAATTTGATGAGCTTTAGATTTGGCTTTTAGAATCATTCTTAAAATGGTTTAAGACCCCCAAGGTGAAAATTTACACCTCAATTTCTTCATTTTGTACCACCCAAAAAAAGCAAAAGAAAAATCGCCTCTTCCCTCTGGGGATTTTGGATATTCAGCCTTGTTTGTTGAATACTTTTCTTTACTTTAAAATACTCTATTGAAATAAGTGGTTGGTTTGGCTTATGCGTAGTTTCTGGGCATTTTCCAGGAATTTCGGGGAAATCCGGGTATCTTGAATGGGTCATCACACTTTGAAGGCTGATAACTTCGCCCAGAGATGATATTTTGTCTAACTTTTTATATCATTGTACAGAGAATATTTCAGGCTTTCAGATGATACCAAATAGAGCTTGATTGGATGATCCAGTCCAAGAAAATCGGAGCCAACTCTGAGCAAAGGGGGCCTAACCGACTCGGCTGTCGTGTCGCCTTGTTTTCATGGTAATGAAAAAACCAATCAAGCTTTATCTGGTATCATTTAAAAGCCTGAAATATCCTCTGTACAATGATATAAAAAGCTAGCAAAAATATAATTTCTAGACAAAGTTATAGGTCTTTAAAGCTTGACGAGCCGTTCAAAATACCCGGAAACTACGCAAGAGCCGAAAAATTCCAGTAAGTAAATGACTGGCGGTATGTTCTTTGTAATCGCGTAGTCACTTGCCATCTGGCAAACCGTCGTGGTATGGAATCCCTTTTGGAATCAGTATGCCACAAGTGACATTGACAACTGCAGAGTTGACAAGAAGAAGGAGTGCTGAGCTGCTCAGCCATGGTTCGCCGTCTTTGGCGTCGAAGCCCAAATTTCTGGGGCCAATTCTTGCCTAAATTTGGCTATATTTTTACTAGAAAATCGACATTCTCTTAAACTAAAACCATTTGAAATAAACAAGGTTCGAAACTAACCGAAAAAAGCTGATTTCAGCGAATTCCTCCGCTCTGACACTGGTCGTCTCTTGGGCACACCGGTGGCCGGTACTTATTTCTATGTAAGTTTCAACACTAATAAAGAAAATGATATTCAATTTAGATCACGAACGTCTAAATCTACTCAAAACAAAAAAAAAATCACTTTCACATCTTTTGATTCGATTCAATCAATGATTCAATAAATTTTTCTCAAAAAAGTTTTCTTTATCTTTATCTTCTAATGGATTTCACATTGGACAAGTGTATCGATGAGAAAGAGGAGGAGGAAGAGGGAAGAAGAAGAGGAAGAGAAAGAGGAAGAGAAGAGAGGAAGAAGAGGAAGAGAAAGAGAAAGAGAAAGAAAGAGGAAGAGAAAGACTACTTCTGAAAGAGAAATGTATCCATTTCAGGGATTTTAGCGGTTAGCGGTTCCGATTTAGTTCCTTTATAGTTCCTATCTAGTTCCTATCTAGTTCCTATCTAATAGGTTGATGCATAAGTCTTTTTGTTCCTTTTCGTAGTTGTAGTTGCCTGTAGGTGTCTGTAGGCGCTTGTAGGCGCTTGTAGTTGCATGTAGGTGCCTGTAGGCGCCTTTAGGTGCCTGTAGGTGCCTGTAGGTGTCTGTAGGCGCTTGTAGGCGCTTGTATTAGGTTGATGCATAAGTCTTTTCGTTCCTTTTCGTCTGCCGTTTGAAGCCAACAAATGCACGAATTAAACTACGGTTGATTTCATTAGAAAAAGCAATTATTTTTCTGCAAAATAACATTAAAACGGGTTTAAAAATATTGAATGCCTGGATTTTCTTGAGAGTATGAAGTCGGGTAGTCAAAAAGGGCTAACTCGATGATGCGGTTTAGACACCTTAGCTAAAGATAGCTAAAGAAAACCTATCTTCGTGTCAATAGATAAAAGATAGAGAAAAAAAACGTTTGATATTTCGCCAAAATTTCAGAGAAATTCATTCAGCCAATTTTTCCGTAGAGTTTTTTATAGATTTTTACGAAAAAGGCGTTTTTCACTCTCAATTTGCAAATGAAAGACAAGAAATTCATTTAAAAAGATGCAAATTCAACAAAAAAACACTTTTTTTTATAGAGCAAACTATAGATTAATTGGTGAATTTGTTACTTTTTAACAGAAGTACGAAAACAAACGAAAAGACTTATGCATCAACCTAATAGTTCCTATCTAGTTCCTATCTAGTTCCTATCTAGTTCCTTATAGTTCCTATTTAGCAATTCCATTTTCCTAAATATTCATTTTTGCAAAAAAAAACAATTCAAATCTGAAGTTTTTAAGGAGAAAAATTTCTGTTTTCTTTTAAATACCCAATTCTTTTTTTTGTAGTAAACATTTCTTTCATAAATTTTCAATTTCAAGATAGCCTGAAAACAGTGTCCATTTTGCGAGGCTAACCCCCCGTTTTTTTGGCCGCGTTTTCTTTTTCTGTTTACGGAGCTAAGCCGTTTTGGGCTTGTCAATGAATTTCTTTGACAACATTTGCCAATTGATAAATTCTAGAGTTTTGAAACTTCTCATATTGTATATTTATGCTTTATCTTTGTAATCAAGTTCATATCAATTTCTGATTTGATTATCGTCTTTTCTCTGATAGTAGTGCACCCTGAGCGTTACCTAAATTGCTCGAAATCTCGAGAACCGCTTATCAGAACCTATCGATGCGGGGTCGGAAAATGTAGCTGACGATGAGATCTAGTGGGGAATTAGAGTGTTGAGCCTCGGCAAAAGCTTGGAAACCGTAAAATAGTGATCAACTCGGCTCGGTGGGATGACGACTATTAGAGAACGCAATCATGGCGTTGCATCGACTGGGGCTTTCGACAATTGCAATTTCTCAAAATTTGGGAGTTTCTACGCGGCTCGTGAACAAGACGATTAAACGCTTCTTGGAATTGGGAACAAATGCTGGTAGAGCTGGTCGAGGAAAACGTTCTGCTGTGATTCAGGCCAACATCAAAAAAGGGTGAGAGAGGTTGTGTCGTAATCCGGAACGATCAGTCCAACTCATCTCACGCCAAATGGGAATTTCTGAGACTGGAAGCTAAGGCGTGTGCTAAGCCACATCGAACAGTTGTCTCGTTAAAGAAAGCGCTCCTTAAAGCATGGAACGAGCTTGACGAAGGGGCAGCTTTATCTGTGATCTATATTTTGTTATTTTATATCATTAGCTTTTTGCTGTGATTCAGTCCAACATCAAAAAAGTGCGGTTGCGTTGTAACTCGGAACGATCAGTCCGGCTGATATCACACCAAATGGAAATTTCTGAGCCATCCTTGCGCCGAATTGTGCAGCGCAAACTCAAGATTAAAGCTTTTAAAAGAACAAATGTCAAGGATGCTGACTGAGTGACCGACTGAGCTCCTTAAAGTATGTGACGAGCTTGATGTTGAGCTACTTAGCACAGTTGACGCCTTCCACCCACGTTTTGAAGCGTGCTTCGCCGCTGATAAAGGAATTTGTTTTTGTTGTTTTTGTTGTTGTTAGGACTGACTGATTCAAACTGGTTCTATAATGTCTATAGACTTATCGGTCAACCTAATGACAAGTGGATGCGACCAAGATTGTTTCAAACTGATTTTGAGTTCAGGAATTGTAAGCCAAGATAGAAGTCAGGTCCAAGACAGAAGTCAGGTCCAGATCAGGCTTTTCTTCTGGTTCAAGTTCTTCTTAGAAAGCAGGCAGTAAAATCAGGTCGTCACTTGGTTTCAGCCTGGCCTAGCATACAAATCCTAGTCCTTAGTATAAGATTTTTGTCTTTGGTCTCTTGCTCTTGGCTCTTGGCCTGTCTTTGCTCTTGTCTTTGGTTCTCTTGGCTCTTGTCTTTGGTTCTCTTGGCTCTTGTCTTTGGCTCTTGACCACAAATCAGTATGTTGTTTTCCGATCACCATTCACGAGTTTTTCCGTTTGATTTGTTGGTGAAATTTTTTGTGATTTGAATCTCGAGAAAAGCCTTTTCACAAACGAAAGGTGAGAAGTGATAGAGGGCAAAGAAGTGATGGGGAAAGGGGTAAAGAAAGGGGTGAAGAAGAGGTGGAAGAGGCACATTGACAATTTTGACGGCGCCCACCCCTTTCCTTTCTTTTTCTGGTAAATAGTTGCATAGAATCAATCAGAAAAGAAAAAGTTACCGAAAAAATACGACCAATCTGCACTAAAGACTGAGCTCGAATTTCAGAGAAGAATTTCTTCAGAATTCTTCCTTTTTCTTCAAGAATTCTTCCTTCCAATCGTTTTCTCTCTGTTTTCATAGTTTTGAATTACTTTTTTTCAATTCGATTTTCAATGTTTTCAAAGTTTAAACCTTTAAAAGATTGTGCGAGAGTTTTCTTCTTTAAAATATAGAATTTATGAAATTTAGAAGTAAAAGAAGTTATTTAGAAGGAAAAGAAGTAATTTAGAAGTAACAGAAGTAATTTAGAAGTAACAGAAGTTATTTAGAAGTAACAGAAGTTATTTAGAAGTAAAAGAAGTAATTTAGAAGTAAAAGAAGTTATTTAGAAGTAAAAGAAGTTATTTAGAAGTAACAAAAGTTATTTAGAAGGAAAAGAAGTTATTTAGAAGGAACAGAATTTATTTAGAAGTAACAGAAGCTACTTAGAAGCTAAAATATTAATGTTTCTCAAGCATTGCTTAATTTCAGTACTTGTTTACAGTATTTTTAGGTATTCTGACTAAACAGAATACTTAATTTCAGTACTTGTTAAGATTCTTTAAAGTTAATATTCAATTTAAGATTCTTTAAAGATATCCAATCTTATCAGCTGAATATTTTCCTTGTTTTAGTGTAAGTTTAAACCAAGAAATCGTTTCAGTTTTGAAAATGGAAAGGAAAACCTCGAGAATGTCGCTGTTGAGCTCATATTCTTCATTTCCGACAATGCGACCAGCTATTGCTAAATTCAACGATTTCATTGCCAGAGATTCACATAAAGAACCGGTAACGAGGAAAAGTATTCGATACAATAGTCTCAGGTACAGTAATTACAGTACTACTTGAAGAAAGTATTAATCTTTAGAAGTTACTTGGCTGGAACAGTGGTCGAGGAGTTGGATCCTGATGAAGACGATGATGAAATCCGGGTTTGTCATTGGTTGGATGAAACTTGATTGTCGAACTTGATTGTCGAGATTTTCGAATGAAAGTGTTTAAACGTTTTCTAAAAAGTGCTCTCTAAAAGCTATCGTAATGTTGCTGTGTCTCAAATAAGGATAAACGTTACCCCTATCAAAATTGAGTCTATCAAAGATAGTCTATCAAAGTTGAGTCTATCAAAGATTGAGTCTATCAAAGATTGAGTCTATCAAAGATTGAGCCCATCAAAGATTGAGTCTATCAAAGATTGAGTCTATCAAAGATTGAGTCTATCAAAATTGAGTCTATCAAAGATTGAGTCTATCAAAGATTGAGTCTATCAAAATTGAGTCTATCAAAGATTGAGTCTATCAAAGATTGAGCCCATCAAAGATTGAGTCTATCAAAATTGAGTCTATCAAAGATTGAGTCTATCAAAGATAGTCTATCAAAGATTGAGCCCATCAAAGATTGAGTCTATCAAAGATTGAGTCTATCAAAGATTGAGTCTATCAAAATTCGTATTCAGTCGCAAATTTAGCTAAGGGCTCTTAAACTGACGTCTTAAATGGGAAGAGTGTCTTAAACTTATCCGATTTGATCGTTTTATAGGTCATTCGAAATCTCAAATAAGGATAAACGTTTACCCTAGTTAGGGCAAAACCGGTAATACAAATCTCGTTGTCTGATCAGGATCAAATGTTATATGAGAAGCTATGGGTATTCCAACGATACCCCATAAAAAGTTATGGGGATCCCGACGATACCCGATGCTTTTTCCTCTTGAAGATTAATGATTAAACAAGTCTAGTCCAGAGCTGATACTTCCATTTCTCATTACTCTTCCCTCAAATATTCATCCTTTTTCTGCTCAATTTTTCTTTCAGATATTCCTCGATGAATTTCCTTTCTTTTTCCCTCAGGAGATCCGTTCTAATTAGTCTTTTCTTTCTTTTTCTTTTTCTTTTCCTTTTCCTTTCTCCTTTTTCTTTCCTTTTCCTTTTCCTTTTCCTTTTCCTTTTTCCTTTTTATCTACTGCA